TTAATTCTTATGCCTAACTCAACAAAATTATTATCGTTCTTAACCAGGGAGGTGGCAACAAGAGCAGATGCAGCCCTGCCAGAAGACTCCTGTTTAGATCCATCAGTGTATATAACTTGTGATAACTTATTACTACCAGCTAGGTGAGAAATTTCTTCTTGAGGCAGGTGAAATTGCTGACCTAGAAAATGTACAGAGAACCTTCACGGCACGCATAACGGAGATAAAACACCTCAATTACTGGGAGCGCTTGAGGTTCCTGAACCTGTATTCCCTGGAACGCAGGTGGGAGAGATACATGATTATATACACCTGGAAAATCCTAGAGGGACTAGTACCGAACTTGCACACGAAAATCACTCACTACGAAAGCAAAAGACTTGGCAGACGATGCAACATCCCCAATGAAAAGCAGGGGTGTCACTAGCACGTTAAGAGACCATACAGTAAGTGTCAGGGGCCCGAGACTGTTCAACTGCCTCCCAGCATACATAGGGGGGATTACCAACAGACCCCTGGCAGTCTTCAAGCTGGCACTGGACAAGCACCTAAAGTCGGTTCCTGATCAGCCGGGCTGTGGCTCGTACGTTGGTTTGCGTGCAGCCAACAGTAACAGCCTGGTTGATCAGGCTCTGATCCACCAGGAGGCCTGGTCACAGACCGGGCCGCGGGGGCGTTGACCCCCGGAACTCTCTCCAGGTAACTCCAGGCAGTTGCTCTAACAAGTGATTTAAGGAAGGGATTACTAGCAATGAGCTTCTTCGGAGGGACTTGCAGGTATGTGATATTAAATGAACACATCTTCCACGGAGGGGTGAAATGCTCTTGTTGCCTACAGTGATACAGTTCATGCAGGTTATAAAACTTAATGCAATTGCATGTTTTCACAATCCATTTAGATCTGTGTGTATTTACCTCTAGACACTTGGTAAGATTCATTGTGACAGAGTCTGGTTCATTTCTCAACATTCTAATACCGAGTACAGTGTTGCTCTCAACAATCCTATCACTGATACTAGAAATACCAAGCTCCTTCCTCATATTAAGAACTTTTGTAGATCTGGGACAGCCAAGAATAATTCTGAGAGCTTGATTTTGCATTAACTCCACGGGTCGGAGAGAACTTTCTCTAGCTAATATCAACATGGGAGCAGCATAATCAATTAAGGACCTAACAAAGGCTATGTACATCATTCTCACGATTCTCACATTAGCACCATAGTTGGGGTTGTAGCCAGCAACAGCTTTGAGAGCATTTAGCCTAGCTTTGCATTTCTTATTTAGTTGTGGTATAGTGGATTTGTTAAAGGGTACATCTACACCAAGATATCTGTAAGTTTTAACGTAGCTAATGATTTCACCCTGCAAATAGATGGGTGGGGGATGTCGTTTGCTTGTTAAGATCTTTGTTTTAGAGGAAGATATTATGAGACCTAGTCGATTACAAATTGCTTGAACTTCATTAAGAATGGTATTCATCTTCTTATGCCCTGTTGTGTGGATCATGATATCATCAGCATAGCTTATAGCTATATGTTTAGGTGAGGCAGGTAGAGCATTTAGGAGAGCATTAATCAGAATATTAAATAGCATGGGACTAAGAACTCCTCCCTGCGGTGTACCTAAAGACATTTCTTTAGACTCACTTCTAAAGCCTTGATAAAGGACACAGGATACTCTATTTGACAGGTATCCTATTATCCAGCAGAGTAAGCTACCATCAATATTCATTTTGGCTAGTTCATGTAGTATAACGGTTCTGTTCGCAATATCAAATGCAGATTTTAGATCATGAACCCATAGAGGTAGGGGGAAAGTTGGTGTCTGATTCTGTAGTACAGTCTGTTAAGTATCATTCTTTACAAAGACAACTAGTTAAGGAGATCGGTCTAAATGTATCAGGCTGTTGGGGCTTAGGGATAGGCACAATGAGACTATTGGTCCAGGAAGTAGGAAGAACGCCCTCAATGTAACTGAGATTATACAGTGCTCCAAAGGGTTATCAGGCACGTGCCTTAGAGTTCTGAGAATATCATAGGTTATACCATCCTCTCCAGGAGCAGTTGATCGACCTTTAGTTAATGCATTATCTAATTCATACTCGGTAAAGAGGCAGTCACTCTCATTAATATTTTGGCTCATAAAATTAATCAGTTTCAACATTAATAGATGACACTGTCATGCTGTGGCTTGCATCTTCATGTCAAATATGGGGATGGGGAACAGAATGGGGGAATCGAGCTTTTCACTGTAGCCACCTCAGATTTTACTCTTTGTGTTTTGTTAGGAAGTTATAGATCCATCTACTAACTTTTCCTGTTATTCCTTTATCATATTACACCATGGTCGCACTTGTTGAAGGCTTTCCACAAGTGTGAGTTTAATTACTTGATCTTTACTGGTCATATCTGGTTCAGAAAGACCAACAACTTTTGCGAGAAATTACGTGTATAAATCTGACAGGTACAATCCTGAATTAACATTTCACACACATAACTGGGGAGAACTCTGGCATATCTAAAATAGATTACACTTACTGATATTGATGTACCTCGGAGACATGTAGAACTTCAGAAATAATGGGTCACCACATAACTCCTTCATGTCCACCATCTCTGCTCCCCAACTCACGTCTGGACCTTAGATTTATATGAATTTATAGTTCTTGAATTTTCATTAAATAAAATATTTCAAGCCAGTAGCAATGGTTGTATTAAAACTGGACTGTATGTGATTAATGAAATATATTTGTGAGCTTGATGTCCCCTAGCTCGATCACACACTGAGGTCCGGAGTTCGAATTTCCTCCGGTACGACTGGACAACATTAGGGACGTGTTTCCATGAGACACCTGGTGCTATCCATGTTCACCCATCAGCAAAATGGGTACCTGGGTGTTAGTGGACTGGTGTGGGTCGCATCCTGGGACAAAACTGACCTAATTTGCCCGAAATGCTCAGCATAACAAGCGGCTTTCTGTATAGTAGTATGTCATTGATGTCAGCTATGGTCTGTATACCTTGTATATGTACCTGTAATAAATAAAGATATTTTATTATTATTATAAGGATTTTTTCTATAAAATTTTTTATACATTATGCAAAAAGAAATATCTTGCCAAATTATGGTCTTCATATATTCTAATGCTTCCCTATATGTAGATACCCTAATATTGGCCAATAACTGTGTGTGAGAAATAAAACACACTGGGAGGTGAGTATACACTATTACAATCCACCAGTGATCAGTTCTTCATCCCCATTAACAGGGCATCTCATTTTCTATTAATATCAGCATTAATCTGACAGTTATTTTACAGATCTGGACCTTTCCAGGTATACTACACATTAGTTCTTCCTGTCATGGTAGATTTTTGGCGATAATATTTCCATTGGCCCGGATGACCCACGATTAATTAATATGGTAGATAAGACACATAGGCAACATTATTTCGAAACGTTTCGCCTACACAGTAGGCTTCTTCAGTCGAGTACAGAAAGTAGGCAGGAACAGTAGAGATGTGAAGACGATGTAATCAGTACATCACCCTTGAAGTCGTAGATTTGAGGTTGTCAGTCCCTCAGCCTGGAGAAGTTCTGTTCCAAAGTCTGGAACTAACTGAAGATCAAGTGACAGTGTTGAGACTTAAATAGACAGCTGTCGGAAGGAGAGGTGCAGAGTAGTACAAGTAGTGAGAATGTAGCCATTGGGAGGTCATGTCCCTCTCAGATCAAACAATTCTCACTTGAAAAAGTTGTCCAAGGTGTTTTCTCTTCTGTACCAAGATGCCATTGTGTTGCAGTGTCTGACAGAGTGATTATCAAATGGTATACAATACCGACAGGTTGGTAGATAAGACCATTAACACAATATACACACTGCGCCATATTCCGGCTTGAAATACATATCATTATTTCAATAACATTTCCAGGTGTGTAATACATTTCCATTATTGAAATATTAATTTCTTCCAACATCATAAAGAATTTTCTTACTTAATCAACTCCTTGAAAAGTCACATTAAAGATACAAACCTACACGATTTCGAATAAAAATTATCTTACACACAAATTACATGGTATATGTGGAAATACCGGGCGTTTCCTAAGGTGGCCCGGTGGCCTGGTGGCTAAAGCTCCCGCTTCACACACGGAGGGCCCGGGTTCGATTCCCGGCGGGTGGAAACATTTCGACACGTTTCCTTACACCTGTTGTCCTGTTCACCTAGCAGCAAATAGGTACCTGGGTGTTAGTCGACTGGTGTGGGTCGCATCCTGGGGGACAAGATTAAGGACCCCAATGGAAATAAGTTAGACAGTCCTCGATGACGCACTGACTTTCTTGGGTTATCCTGGGTGGCTAATCCTCCGGGGTTAAAAATCCGAACGAAATCTTATCTTCCTTACGACACCTACTGTCCCTGTTCACCTAGCAGTAGCAGTACAAGGACACCAATGGAAATAAGTCTGATTTTTTTTGGTTTATCCTGGGTCATGTACACATGTTGCCATGTATGATAACTTATGTAACTGTATTTATGCGCACCTGTACCTGAATAAACTTACTTAGATAACCAGGTGTTAGTCACCTTACACCTGGTGTTCTTGTTTACCTAGAGCAGCAAGTAGGTACCTGGGTGTTAGTCGACTGGTGTGGGTCGCATCCTGGGACAAAATTAACATAATTTTCCCGAAATGCTGTCATAACCAGGGGGCTTTCTATATAGTGTCACTAATATCAGCTATGGTCTGTATAACTTGTACATGTATAAATAAAGATTAATAACAATAATATTATTTAAATACCGCGGGTGATGACGTACAAATTTTAGCAGCAACAGAGGAACTGATAGAGATAAACCTTAACGGCTTATCTAAAAAATAGGAACCGGTATAATAATCCGATAAGGCACAATTTCTTTCATTTACATCGTAAATAAGCCCCAAGATAAAAAAAATTAATAAGTACGAGCGTATTATATTTGTTAAGAGAATAAGAGTGTTGTTTCCTGGTCAGTATTGCCACGCAAGATCGGCCGGTCGGAGGTCAGGTGCAGATGATTCCCTCTAAAAGCCACAAAACTGCTCAATTACCCACTTTTGATTAACCAGGAGCCGGATGGAAGCCGCTAAGGAGGACACCAAGGCACTGGTAATGCAATTTGAGGCGCACATAGGCCGAGGTGGTGGAAATAAGTGTGGTAAGATGTGGTTGTGGTGACGTAGGCTTGTTTACGTGTACACCAGTGAGCTGTCAAATTGTCTGCAGCTAAACACTGTAAGGGAAAAGTTGTTTGCACCGGTGGCAGCTTCAAGGATACCTTCTCTTTATAATGTATCTGTCTTGTAGAGACTACGCCGTTGTCGAGCTCTAGTTCGTGGTCCCCTAGAGGCTGTACGTTTCAGATGTGTCACTAGCAGTTATCAGCCTCATAACTGTAGCCTTTGTTGACAGGTTATAATTTTGTTATGATTAGCTTTGTTTAGGTTAAATATAAAAAGTTTTACAGTAATATATATGTGTCTACAGTTGTTTAATTAAGCACACTTGTAAAAGATATATATAACTATGGGCTTTTTCGTGTAAGAAATTTATAGTACACTGTTAGCCTAGTGTTGTAAATGTTATATCTTGGGATATAGTTAACTCATATCTCATTGTTAACATGTCTGGCTCAACTAGCAGTGCCCAGGGTCAAATTCTGGGTTAAACGGCATGTTGAGTTTACCTCCTCGGTGGAACTCTGATATTTACTTCTTATACAAGGAAGGTGTCCAAACCCAGGCACTATACTTATTTCTTGCCCAAATTTTTATTTTGGGAGGTATTATCCACGTACTGTAAGTTTTTATTAGAGGAAGCTCTTCAAGGGGGACTCCTTGACGAGGCGAGGAGGCTATTGGTCGGAGGAATTGAACCTTTCCGTCTTCTTCATCAGACTGAACCTAAATACCCTCCACTCCTCCCTCCCCTCTCTCTTTCCTGCTTTCAGCCTTTGGGGTCCTCCCCTCAGGCATTCTAGTTTCTAGGTTGGGGACAGGTATTGATGTCCATCCCATTCCATTGAGGTCCTTGGTGGTGGTGGTGTAGTTTGCCGTGGAATTGGGATCATCTGGGGATGTTCTGATCCCTCTTCGGTCTCCCAGGGGGTGGCTTACAATGCCTTTCGGGTGACAGATGATTCTCTCGAGGCTGCCAGTTGGATTCTGGGAAGTGGTGGCCAAAGGAAGTATGCTTTGTGGCGAGTATCCAACCGCCCTCTCCTTTGTCCACCGAGGTGGCTCAGTGGATGTGAAGTTGCTGTCCTGGATTACCGGTTTACTGGCATGAAGAGTAGGGTATGGCTTAGATTCCATGCCGCATTTGCACTACTGGCCGCACTGAGATCCTCTTGGGTGCGGAGGGGGATTTACAACCTTTCATTCCTCCTAGGAGCTACCCCTCCACATTACCCCCTTTTTTTCTTTTTTTCCTTTTTATTCTTGTGAAAGAAAATAGTAACCTAACCATGGAGTCCTAAATCCATGAAACTTCTCCTCCAAGATCCCTTTCTGCTGTGGCACCCTCTCAAGACCCTACCTCTTCTGTTATTAGGCGATTTTAATGCTCGTCATTTCCCCTGGGAGAATCTCACTGTGACTTGTGGTGATCATTTAGAGGCTCTTCTCGCTTCTCTTCCCCTCTTGTGTTTTATATACGGGTACTCCCATCCATTTTGACCCTCGCACTAGATCTCTCTTCGCATTGATCTCTGTTTGCTCATCAATTGCACTCAACTTTACCTGGTCTATGCTTCCATATTTAAGTGACGGCCATCATTTTCCTATCCTTACTTCCCATTCGTATTCTCGCCCTCTTCGAAGCCCACATTGGCAGTTTGAATTTGTGAATTGGGACCTGTACTCGCGTCAGACTGTTTTTAGTGAGGAACCTTCTTCGTCCTCTACTGATGAACTGTTACAACTATTTTTAACCTCGGTTTTTACCATGGCTTCACATTCAGTCCTTCATACCTTGATTAGACACACACAGAAATGCATGCCTAGGTGGTTTCCTACTTGTGCTCATGCAGTATGTTTGAAATGTACTGCATGGAGCTGATATCATTACAGTAGGACCATAGTGCCTTTTACACTTCTAGAACTGGAGTTAACACTTTCCGCTTGCCGATTGTTGGCAGCTGGGCCGGATAGCTTTCGCATTCGTATGCTTCAGCATTTACATCCCTCAGCCTTTGCAGTCCTTTTACATCTCTTTAATTTTATTTGGTCACAAGGGTTCTTCCCCAGCTGTGGAAAACTGCTGTTGTTTTACCTTTTCATAAACCACGTACATACTGTACTTCGATTCGTGATGCCTCACACTACTGTCCCATTGCTCTTACCAGTGCAGCTTGCAAGTTGATGGAACGTCTAGTAGAAAGATGTTTGTTGTGGTATTTAGAGAGAATAATTTCTCCACTAGTCAATCTGGTTTTTATAAGAGCTGCTCAACTGTGAACCCCTTACTCTGCTTAGATACCTGTGTTTGTAATGCCTTTGCTAGTAACCACTTGGTTATTGCAGTCTTTTTTGATCTTGTAAAGGCATATGACACTACTTGGAGACATAACATCTTGGCCTAGGCTCATTCCTTAGGCCTCTGAGGCAATCTGCCACTTTTCCTTAAAAACTTCTTATCTGAGAGATATTTCTGTGTTTGGGTTAATAATTCGCTTTGTCCAAGCTGAAGGTGCCCTCAGGGATGTGTGCTTAGCATCATTCTTTTTCTACTAGCTATAAATGATCTGGCTTCAGTTCCCTCATCTAATATTTGGTTATCACTTTGTTAATGACTTTGCTACAGCGTGTGTATGTGCTGACTGCCGCCTAGTAGCAGCCTTACTCCAGAATGCTGTCACCTGTATTTCCCATTGGGCCACCACTCATGGGTTTAAATTTTCTGGTGCTAAAACACACCAAATTACTTTTACAAGATGTTGTATTGTCTCTGATGCTCCATTGTACCTGTATGGCTTCTGCATCCCAGAACATGATACAATCAGATTTCTCAGTTTTCTTTTCTTATTGATTACCATCTGTCCTGGAAGCCTCACATTATGTCCATGCAAGCAACTTGCCATAGCTGGCTTAACCTCCTTAAAACCCTCGCTCTTCTTTTCAGACCTAATTTTATCAAAATTAGACTATGGTGACCAGATATATTCTGCAGCTTATCTGGCAACTATTTCTAAACTTGATCTCACCATCATCAATGATTATATTTGTCTAGTGGCTTTTTGCTCCTCACCTGTTGTGAACCTATATGCAGAGGTGAATATTCCATCCTTAAACAATTGCCATGATGCCCATTGCCTCCGTTATTTTGTCTGCTCTCGTGACCTTCACGATCCTTCTACATACAGGATAGTAACAAACATTAGTAGAGGTCCATTATTTTCTTGCCGCCATGTTTACTCCATCCCTTTTCTCTCTGTCTTCACTCGCTCTTGATTTCTCTTTGGTTGCCCCCTTATATATTCATCTAGCATCTAATTTTTGTCTTCTTCCCTGAGAGGTTCCGATAGTTCATGTCTCTTCTTCCCCACTGCTATACAGAAAAGCTCAAATACCTATACATACAGCCTCTCCTCACTTAACAATGGAGTTGCGTTCCTAAGACCACGTTGGTAAACAAATTTGTGGCTAAGTGAAGAGCATACTATAATGATAGTGGGTTTGTGTCAACCATCTTTGATGTTGTTTTAATGCCACTTTTGCACCATTTATAACATTTCTGGTATATTTTTAAATGTTTATACTGCAGTGTACTGTATATTGTAATAAACAGAATAGAGGAAATCAGCTCTAATATACATTATTTAGGTATACATACTGGTCAGAGATCCCATTGTGAGTCTGAGTCGTCAGTAAACAAGTACGTCGCTAAGTGAGGAGAGGCTGTAGTTGCTTCTTGTTCCCTTTTCCTCATCTACTTCCAGTCTTATTCTCATGGCATTGTGGTGTACACGGATGGTTCTAAATCCTCTGACAGTATCGGGTTTGCAGCAGTATTCCCGGATAGCATTGTGCAAGGGCATTTATGCAGTTCTCATTGCAGTTATCCATATTGCATCTATGCCTACATCACATTTGTAGTAGTCTCAGACTCCTTTAGTGCTTTACAAGCTATTAAAAAATTTGATTCACCTTACCCCCTAGTTCATATACAACTTTGGTTGTGCCTTATTTTTAGCAAAAACAAAGAAATAATTTTCTGCTGGGTCCCTGGTCATGTTGATGTTCTGGGCGATGAGCAGGCAGACTGTTGCATGGTCAGCGGTGCTTGACTTCCCAGTTTCATACAAAGGTATTTCATTTTCAGACTACTTTGCTGTAAACTCTAACCACCTTCACAACAGTTGGCAACAACGTTGGTCCAATATGACTCATAACAAATTATATTCCATCAAGCTAAGTTAGGTTTCTGGCCGCCCCCTTGTCATCAATGCCAAGGTTGGAAGACTACTCTCTCCTGTCTTTGCATCAGGCACACCCGTCTTACTCATGGGTATCTCTCTCTCAGAGAATTGTCAGGTTCCAATTTCGGTTTGCCAAATTCTATTGGACTGTCCTGTCTTTCAAGGAGCACACAGAATTTACCTCTGGCATCGTCACTGCTCGAACACCCTTACTTTATCTTCTCTCCTTGCAAATGGCCCCACCTTTGACTCAGACTCCCTCTTTGATTTTTGACAGCAATTGATTTATTACACAAACTTTGATAATACAGTGGACCCCCAATTAACGATCACCTCCCAATGCGACCAATTATGTAAGTGTATTTATGTAAGTGCATTTGTACGTGTATGTTTGGGGGTCTGAAATGGACTAATCTACTTCACAATATTCCTTATGGGAACAAATTCGGTCAGTACTGGCACCTGAACATACTTCTGGAATGAAAAAATATCGTTAACCGGGGGTCCACTGTACTTCCTTAGTACTCCTCACAGCACTTTCTGTCTCTATCTCTGTTCTCCTCTCTACCCTTGCTGCTATATGATCCAGCAACACCCCCTGCCCTGCAGTGCTGGTTGCTCATGTGTGTAGAATTGTCTCACACTATACATTTTACTTCACGAGTTGCTGTTGAGGATGTGGATGATGTGTGTATGACATGATCACAAAATTAATAATATCTGGTATCTTCACTTCTCTTGAATTTTACAATTTACTGTACTAAGAGTTATTTTGCACAACTATGTTTTTATTCCTTTGTATCACAGCCCTGCACAAAATGCAGAGGAAGGTGACCATGCCTTATTTTGTCCAGGATCATGATATCAAGATCAAGGCTTGTAAATGTTCTGAGTTTCTATAACTGCCTGTTTGATACACGTATATGGGATACATTCATATGTAGATAAAAACAACACAAAAAATTTTACCATTTTATGGTACTTTATAAAATTTCATTCTTGATCTTTAGTATGATTGGACTGTTAATTTAAAATGTCTGTATACTGATAAAATTTGTCATATAAAATGCTTGTTTTATTAGTATTAAATGTTGGCTATAAATAATTTTGTAAAGTAAAATTTCTATCTCAAATTATATACTGATAATTTGCAAAAAACCACTTGCACACAACTCATTTTACTTGTACTGCAACATTCATATCTAAATATAGTAAATATGATGATAACTTCAGATGAGATCATTTCAACAACCATTTACACTAACAGTATAGTACAAGGTCCCACTACATTGGTTTGGGGATAACTAAAGAAAATACAGTATATTGTTTCTTTTGAAAATGGCTAATTTTTTTTCATTGGGATTAGGTGTGGTGGGGAATGTTTGTGTATTTGCAAGCCAATTAATGTGATTAGTAGTTGGAAAAGCCTGTTAAAGATTGGAACCAATTTTGAGGCACACTATTTTAAAAGTAAGTATAATACTGTAAGATATGTATGTATTTTGCTACTGATCTTGCAACCTTCCTAAGCTGAGTCACCTTTGTCCAGAGAGAGAGCTCAGTACTGTATATTTTAGATTTGAATGGTGAGGTTATTTCCTTATTTTTCCAGATTTCAGAGTTATATGACTCAAATGGGCTTAGTGCTCTTTCATGGGATAAAAAACAGTATGTATTTTTGCTCTCTCAGAGAGAATTCGTAAATACAATATTCTTGTTTTTCACTGAGAACACAGTACTGTAATGAGGAATTTTATTATTATGAACTTTTTTATTGACAGAAAAGTGTAGAAGCAGCAGTAGAAGCAAGAGAAACCACCAGTGAGGGGGAGACACCAACACAGGGAAATATGGCAGGCAGTGAAAAGTCACCAGACACAAAGGGGTGAGCATCATTATTTTGTAGTTTTCTTGAAATTAATTTTAATTATCTAATTCCTGTCTAAGAAACATACATGAGAAAAATTATCTGTTAGGAATTGCATTAATCCAGAGTGGTTTAAGTATGGTTGACATTACAGAGAACATTTTGGAAGGGAATAATGTATGTGGATAAGTGATTTGCAAACCTTAGATAACGTACAGCATTTGCAGTTTTAATGCAGTAAATAGCATTACTGTATAGATAGAATACATTGAGAACCCCCAGAGTACAGCCGAAGACAGGAATCTGGAACCATTGGGAGTAGGAGCTTTGCTTTATTGATTTTTCACTGTTACCAAGTAACATTTCTTAAGTATAGAAAGTGGAAATATATTAAGCACATTTTATTTCCAGTATAATACTGTTTATGAAAATAAGGTTTGTAGTATTGGTTTGCAATTCGTTTCCAGTTTAGGTTATACTGGATGTATGTATGTATACTTTTACATGTACATGTTTATAGAGGGGCCACAGATATATCAGATCACATTTTAGTTGTAGCTACAATGAGAGTAAAAGGTAGATGGGATACAAGGAAAATGGAAGCAGCACGTAAGAGAGAGGTGAAGGTTTATAAACTAAAGGAAGAGGCAGTTAGGGTAAGATATAAACAACTGTTGGAGGACAGATGGGCTAGTGAGAGTATAGGCAGTGGGGTAAAAGATGTATGGGGTAAGTTTAAGAATATAGTGTTAGTGTTCAGCAGAAGTTTGTGGTTACAGGAAAGTGGGTGCGGGAGGGAAGAAGAGCGATTGGTGGAATGATGATGTAAAGAGTAGTAAGAGAGAAAAAGTTAGCATATGAGAAGCTTTTACAAAGTAGAATTGATGCAAGGAGGGAGGAGTATATGGAGAGAAAGAGAGGTTAAAAGAGTGGTGAAGTAATGTAAAAGGAGAGCAAATGAGAGAGTGGATGAGATATTACCAATAAATTTTGTTAAAAATAAGAAAAAGTTTTGGAGTGAGATTAATAAGTTGAGAAAGCCTAGGGAAAGAATGGATTTGTTAGTTAAAAATAGGAGAGGAGTGTTATTAAACAGAGAGTTAGAGGTATCGGGAAGATGGAGGGAATATTATGAGGAATTGTTCAGTGTTGATGAAGATAAGGGAAGCTGTGATTTTGTGTATAGGGCAAGGAAGAATAACATCTTATAGGAGTAAGGAAGAACCAGCTGTGAGTGTGGGAGAAGTGCGTGAGGCAGTGAGTGGAATGAAAAGGGGGTAAAGCAGCTGGGACTGATGGGATAAAGATAGAAATGTTAAAAGCAGGTGGAGATATAGTTTTGGAGTGGTTAGTGTTTTATTTAATAAATATATGGAAGAGGGTAAGTAAGTAAGTTTATTCAGGTATACACAAATACAGTTACATAGATTATCATACACAGCAGTATGTGTAGAGAACCTAAGATAACCTAGAAAAGTCAGACAGTGACTTATTTCCATAGGGGTCCTAGGGATTGGCAGAGAGCATGCATAGCTCCTTTGTATAAAGGCAAAGGGGACAAAAGAGAGTGTATAAATTATAGGGAAATAAGTCTGTTGAGTATAACTGTTAAAGTGTATGGTAGTTTTTATTGAAAGAATTATGAGTAAGATCGAGAGCAGGATAGCAGATGAACAAGGAGGCTTTAGGAAAGGTACGGGGTGTGTAGACGAAGTGTTTGCAGTGAAACATATAGGTGAACAGTATTTAAATAAGGGTAAAGAGGTTTCTGTGACATTTATGGATTTGGAAAAGGCATATGATAGGGTGATAGGAGGGGGGCAATGTGGCAGATGTTGCAAATGTATGGAATAGAAGGTAGTTTATTGAAAGCGGTGAAAAGTTTTTATGAGGATAGTGAGGCTCAGGTTAGAGTATGTAGGCAAGAGGGAGATTATTTCCCAGTAAAAGTAGGCCTTAGACGGGTGTATGATGTCACCATGGTTGTTCAGTATATTTATAGATGGAGTTGTAAGAGAAGTGAATGCTCAGGTGTTGGCAAGGGGTGTGGGATTAAATGATAAAGAATCTAACATAAAGTAGGAGTTGTCACAGTTGCTCTTTGCTGGTGACAGTGTGCTTTTGGGAGATTCTGAAGGGAATTGCAGAGGTTGGTTAATAATAATATTTTATTAGGACATGACACAGTTGTACAAGGTATTATAGTAGTTGGGTGTACATGTCGAAAGCCCCTTGTATGCAGAGCATTATGGGCAGGCTTAAAATAAACTTAAGACTATCTAAGCTATAATAGATTTAATGGTAACAGTTACTGTAGACAATTTCAGTTTTGATGCATTATAGTTTTGAAATTTTGGAACATAGGGTATGGTAGGGTATATAAAAGAAGGAAATTAAAATTTAATATAGGAAAGAGTAAGGTGATGAGAATAACAAACAAGTTAGGTAATGGAAGATTGGATATCAGATTGGAGGGAGAGAGTATGGAGGAGGTGAATGTGTTCAGATATTTGGAAGTGGATATGTTAGCAGATGGATCTATGAAGGATGAGGTGAATCATAGAATTGACAAAGGGAAAAAGAGTTTGTGGAGACCAAGAACTTTATCCATGAAAGCAAAGAGGGGATGTATAAGAGTATAGTTATACCAACGCTCTTGTATGGGTGCGAGGCATGGGTAGTGAATGTTGCAACAAGGAGAAGGCTGGAGACAGTGGAAATGTCAGTCTGAGGGTGTGAATATAGTGGGGAAAATCTGTAGTTTGGAGATTAGGAGGAGGTGTGGGATTACCAAAACTATTATCCAGAGGGCTGAGGAGAGGTTGAGATGGTTTGGACATGTAGAGAGGATGGAATGAAATAGAATGACTTTGACAATGTAAAATCTGTAGTGGAGGGAAGGCAGGGTAGGGGGTCAGCCTAGGAAAGGTTGGAGGGAGAGGGTAAAGGAGGTTTTGTGTGTGAGGGGCTTGGATTTTCAGCAAGCGTGCGTGAGCATGTTAGGCAGGAGTGAATAGAGACAAGTGGTTTTTAGGACTTGACTTGACGTGCTGTTGGAGTGTAAGCAAGGTAACATCTATGAAGGGATTCAGGGAAACTGGCAGGCCGGGCTTGATTCCTGGAGATGGGAAGTACAGTGCCAGCACTCTGAAGGAGGGATGTTAATATTAGAGTTATGTAACTGTAGTAGAAACATGCCTCTGGCAAGACAGTGATGGAGTGAATGATGAGGAGAGTTTTTCTTTTTCAGGCCACCCTGCCTTGGTGGGAACGGCCGATGTGTTAATAAAAAATAATATATACTGTATTAAATTTTGCTACAAATTCTTTTAACAGAACTCGCATGGAAGAAACTGAAATTGTGAATGAAAGGAAGCAGAAAACTGAAGACAAGGTACAAAAACTACACTCTAAGAATGGTGACATACAACAAAATGAAGTTCAAAAGGAGCAAGTACAAGAATCAGCAAAGGAGCAAACAGTAAATGAAGTTAAAGATATGGCACAGTTAGAGAAGAGTAAGGAACAGGAGCAACAGGGAGTAGAAGAGGAAGAGGAGGAAGAAGAGGAGGAAGATGATGTGTTTGGAGCATTGTCTGTCTTCACCTCTGAAGTGTTTGCAACATTAAGCTCTCCAGCTGAACCTCTCCAGCGGGAAGAAAGGAACCCACGCCCACTTGCAGCAAATGGTGTAGATCCAGCAAATACAATGAGGCTTCTGCAGGTGAGTCCTGGTTAAGAGATAGGAAGGATATGACCACTTTGTATTTAAAGTTATGTGCTCAGAAATAGAATTACTGTACTGTATTGGCATTTGTGTATGTGTGTGTTATCCATATACAGTGGAACCCCGGATTTCATCTGGTGCGGATATCATGCAATTCAGATTTCAACCACGTTTTTGGGCAAAATTTTACCCCGGGTTTCATACCTCTGCTCTGAAATCGTCCGCCCACCAGGAATGCGGCCACTCGCGTATGTGACTCAGTCTGCCTCTGTCACTTGTTCGGTGAGGGTAGAGGGTGGTAGTGGTTGTGATGGTGGTAGAGGGTGGTTGTGGTTATGTTGGTGGTAGAGGGTGGTAGTGATGGTGGTAGAGGGTGGTTGTGGCTGTGATAGGGGTAGAGGGTGGTAGTGATGGCAAACAGTCGAAGATGTTGAAAAGTTGTTGTTGGTGTGGATCAACGAAAAACAGTTAGCGGGAGATAGTGTTGTGGAGGCGATAATTTGTGAAAAGGCAAGGCAGTTGCATGCAGATCTCGTAAAGAATATGCCAACAAGAGTCTTCAGTAAAGTAAAAGTGATTTAAATGTTCATTTATCCATAAAAATTAGTGCTTTATATTTATTTATCATTGTTTTCTGTATGCAAAACTATAGTTAGTCTCTATAAAATGTATTTTTTGTTAATATTTTTGGGTGTCTAGAACAGATTAATTGGATTTACATTATTTTTTATGGTAAATATTGCTTTGGTTTTCGTCCATTTGGGATTTTGACCAACCTTCTGGAATGGATTGAGGACAAAAACTGGGGTTCAACTGTATGTACTGTATTGTATTTGCATCAAAATTCATAGGAAGCCAAAAATTGCATTATAAATGTTAAACATCAATTCATCTTTGATGCTTTTGGATACTGTTTGTAGAGGAAGTGGGCAGTGGGAGATTGATAAAGATAGTGTTTGCAAAGAGCATAACAGGTGCAAGAATTGAAAGAGATGATGGACAAGAGGAGTATCATTACAGATATAAAGCAAGTCTTACTACCATGCTACCTATATGGAAGCATCATTCTTGTTACAGTAAACTCTTCCTAATTCATAGTTAGTTGCCAAAACTGTCGATTGTACACTAGTTAAGCCATTATGGATACTTTAGAAGAAAACAATATTGTATATTAATGCTGTTTACCGGCAGTGAAAACAATCATTGCGGTGCAACTGCCTAGAAACTGATGAATTCCTGTACCTCTTATCTTTGTCGATCATCTTTAATCATGATCATTCTTTCAAGGGGAAAGTCTTGGTGCTTGAAGGGCTCTTAGTTGAAGGAATTGGAGCTATCTTCCTCTTCCTTGGATCATACTTGATTACCTCCCATTCCATAGGCACTGTATGACCTGTACAGGTTTAACTTTTCCCATGGCTGTAATAATCCTAGTCATAAGGTCTCACTCCTTATTATACTTTCACTGTTATGCTATTTTCAGGTTAGTTACACATGAATTTGTGAACCTTTAAATTGTGTATTTACTACATATAACTGTTCACCTAGGACTTGATAGAAAAAAAAATCCAAGATGTAGAAAGAAGAGAGAAATCCACAGTCTGTCTTTACTGCCTTTTAACCCCTCAAGGGAAGTACCTTGATGCTGGTGAGGGGCTTTTGATCAAAGGCCTTGGACCTGCCTTCCTAATTGATTGAACCCGATTGCCTGCAATTTCATAGGTACTGTAAAATCCTTGTGGGTTTGGCACTCCTCAGTGAGGGTAATGCTGTAATAATTCATTAGTTCTAAATAATTTAACATTTTAATTTGAAGTTTTTCTCATGTAGGATCTTATGACATACGATGAAGAAGAGCCAGATGTAACTTATGGTCTTGGTCCAATGGATTCTCATGGGCGGCTAGCAGTAGTTTCCCACTTGCTTGCAGCTTTGGTCACTACACTCGACCCTCAACACTTGCGTAGGCTGGCAACGCGAATCATGTCAGACTCTTGTGTTTGGGTTTCCCGGCTCTTTAGGTGAGTTATGACAAATTTAAGTTTTACAGTATTTCAAATTTTTTTTTTTCCTTAGTGGAATAGTCTTATGCCTCAGTAGTAAAATTATGAAAAATCTCGGCTGATTTCAGTATAGTGTGCATAATATTTGCCAGCACCTGTCTTCAGTGGGCTAATGAGGAGGCCACAGATAAAAATTAAGAAAAAAGTGCAGTCAAATAGATACTGGGAAATTTTTCTTTTCAGATATTGGTAGAAAAAGGGAATAAATTGAAAGTGGAGGTAGTACATACTACAACTATTAGAAATTATAAAAATATATAATAAACATAGTGTATATAGGAAGGATACATCATGGGAATAGCTTTGCTCTTGTAGCTACAAATAAGTATCTGTGTTACACTTAGTACTGATTTCGATAGCTTTTCTACCATAGTAGCCAGTCTGGGCCATTCTTTTGTATTGTCTTTTCACAGAAGCTATTGCTGTTGGTGGCTTGCTGGCTCACATAGCCATCACAGCATGGTTAATCTGTTACTTGGCAGAAATAGTGATTCAGTTTCTTCTTGAAAACCTCTAACTTGTTCCAGAAATATTTCTGATATCTGGGTACAGTAGAAAACACTGTAACATACATGATCCAAGATTTTTCAACATACTTCCAGCAAATACTGTATTAGAAATATGTATTGCTCAAATGAAGATAATTTTCAAGAAACAAGCTGGACAGCGTCTACGAGTTTCAGAGCAGAAGAGATGTATTGGCTAAGTGGACCTGTAGGGTGCTAGCCTAGTATGATTAACCAGCTGGCCAACAGGGAAGCTTGGCCTTAGGCTAGACTCCCCCATTGGCTGGCTTTTCCATCAACCACAACCTGACCCTAGGCTAGGTTGTGGTTGATGAAAGAGCTTGCAAAAAAGTCACAGGTAAAGATCTTTCAGATACTGCCTTAGTCATTAAAATTATGGATTTGTAAATGTGGAGTTAGTGAGCTAACAATGGCAGTCTGATGGAACAGGTAATTAACAAGAAAGCCTGGTTTCAGACCAGGTTGCGAGGGTATAAAAAACTCTGCAGTGAGTCCCAGGCATGTCATAGGTGTGCCAGTTTATTCCCTGGCACTTACTTCATGATTTCTTTTCACAAAGTAATGAAATTCTCTTCATATAGCAGCAGCTTTGCAGGTAGACTACAGTAGTATGCTTTCATCCCAGGTACTTTGAATCAACTGCCTACATCCATGAGGATGTTCGCGAGGGAGTAGTGAGAGTGTGCCGAATGCTTCTTCACACTCGTTACCCCAAATACACAACCGATGGCTATCAGGCTCTGTATGCTAGACCTCCTGTCATATACACTAGCAGCACAGTCAGGCCAGGGCTGCCACAGCACATTGCCACTATGGTAAGATTCTAGATTTTATATTGTATTTTATGTTTAAGGCAGAAATTTCACTAGCTGCTTATATTGTTGATTTTTATGAATGATCAGGTAGGTGATTTTTGTCAGTAAATTTTGCCTGTTACAGTTCTGTTGATATTTAAAAGGAAGAAAGACAAATAAAGTAATGTTTTGATGTACAATACCAGTAAGAAGCGAATGTCTTATAACGAGGTGCTCTCTTAACAGCTTGGTATTGGATGCGGCTGTGTGCGTGTAGTTCCCTGCAACACTATAGTGGGCTCACCAGTAGCTATGGACACTGCTGCACTAGATCGTATGATGGCTGAAGATTTGGCTGCACAAAAGAAACCTTTCCTTGTCATTGCTAATGCAGGTTAGTTGAAGGGTGTGTATGAAGTTTAATGTTCACTAGCCAATTTTGCTGATACATTACTAACATACTATATAGCAGGGATAGGCAAATTCTTCAATAAGAAGAGCCACATAATAATTTTCATACATTTTTGAATGTTCAAGAGCCACAGAAAATATTATTTTAAAATTGTATTTATAAATAATAAAAAATCCAACAATATTGTAGTCCTACTCACCAAAGCAGAATAGGTTTAATCTCAGCTCATTGAAGACTTTGAGTCTTCATTTTTGCAGTTAATTGTGTAAAATTTGGCTAGTAGGATATCAAAGCTGTTCTGAGAAGCTTGGTGAGGTGGCTGTTAGTGAGGATAGTGATAAATTTCATTACAGAAGAGAAATTCACTGCACTAAGTTGTCTCAAAAACATAGAGTAGTCAATAGCCAGTTTTCTGAAGATTGTGATACTTTGCTTCTGGGATTTGTTTCCAAAAGTCAGTCAGAGATGAGCTTTTATGTACTAGCTTCAGACCCACATCTTCATGCAGCTCAAGCCCTGTTTCTATTGATGCAATATCTAGGCAAAAGGTGCAACAACAAGATATATATTGTTGATGACATAAGTCACTAAAGGATTCGCAAGAAATTTAAAAGTCGCCTTTTTTTAGTTTCTCAAACCTGTTATCAGACTCATTATAAAGTGTTTGTAAGTTTCCTTTGTATTGTGTCAATTGTCTTTAATTTCAGCATCAGGAAAAGGAGTTATTCCTAATATAAGGTTGGGAAAGTGGTTGGATTTCTTTGTTGCCAGATCTCTCTGAAAAAGCTTTTTTATTCTGAAAACTGATTGGGCAAGTTTTGTAATAACTTTATTCTTTCCTTGATGTGCCAGATTTAAATATTGGTGTTGCATTACATATGTAAAGAACATCAAATCTTGTACCCATTCATTATCTTCTAGTTGTGGGTATTTGTTTCTTTTCATCATGAAAGCAATGGTTTTAAAAGCAACAAACTTATTCAAAAGATTGGTAGTTGATAGTCATCTTACAAAGCAGTAGTAGAATGAAAGATCACTTGGCTTTTCTTCGATTCTTCAAGGTCCAGCTCCTCAATAAAATTTATAAATTCATGATGTGTTTTTGCACTTGTCTGAATGAAATTCAGTTTCTAAAACACAATTTATAACCTTGCTGAACTTGCAGTATTTGTTTACTAAATGCTCAAGGTGGATGATACAATGGATAAAGAAACACTCAAGATAGTTGAAATGATGCTGATTTTTTTTTTGGTTACATTCATGGGAACACTGAAAAATTGCTGGCTTTAAAGTGCCTGACAGATAAGGCACAGCTTTTTCACTCTTAACAGTAAAAGCAAAATGGTCCTTCCATTGTTGGTTAAACATTCTCTTTTCTTGTTCATATTTTCTCTTTGTACTCTTCTCTTGTTCAGTCATTTTAAACAAGGGTTTTATAACTAACTAAAATCAGTCTTATTTATTAATCAGAAAAGTACTTATCTACACTGCACTAGTTATGTTCTGCTACCGCCACAAACATGTAACGTGTATACTGAATGAAAAGTGATTGCACAGAGTCTAGTTGCATCATCCACACTTGTTTAAAACATGTTTTAATTATGTTCAGTGACTTAAAACAGCAGTTTGGACACACAGTGCATATGGATACTTGAAAGAGATAATGTGAATTACCATATGTGTGTGAATGACGGTGAAAGTGTTTTCTCTTTTGGTGTCGCCCTGCCTTGGTGGGAGATGGCAGACGGCAGACGTGTTAAAAAAAATATATATATATATACAGCCTCTCTTCACTTCATGATGTACTCATTTACCGATGACTCGAACTTACGATGGGCTCTCTGACCAGTATGCATACCTCAATAATGTATATTAGAGCTGATTTCCTCTATTCTGTTTATTACAGTATACAGTACACTACTGTATAAACATTTAAAAATATACTAAAAATTTTATAAATGGTGCAGAGATGACATTAAAACAATATCAAAGATGGTTGACACGAACTCACTACCATTATAGTATGCTCCTTGCTTAGTGACAAATTCATTTACTGATGTAGTCTTAAGAACAGAACTCCATCATTTAGTGAGGATAGGCTGTATAATATTCTAATGTTCATACATACTATACTACTACTATAGATTATTAATATAAAATTTTAGGAGAAATGGCAATGAAACCAATATTGTCTCGGGCTTGTGATCTGCATTTTGCATATGGCTTGTGATCTGCAGTTTGCCCATTGTTGCTATATAGCATGGTATAATGTATACTTGAATAGTGCATGCCAACTTTTGTTCCATTCTGAACAATGATTTTTAGAAATATGTTGATCTTCCATTAGATATGATTTGTTTTCACAATACAGTGGACCCCCGCATAACGATCACCTCCGAATGCGACCAATTATGTAAGTGTATTTATGTAAGTGCGTTTGTACGTGTATGTTTGGGGGTCTGAAATGGACTAATCTGCTTCACAATATTCCTTATGGGAACAAATTCGGTCAGTACTGGCACCTGAACATACTTCTGGAGTGAAAAAATATTGTTAACCGGGGGTCCACTGTACTTTCAAAAATATAATATCCACATGATCATTGCTTATAGAGATGTGCAATTCAGTTTGTGCAACTGAATGATGCCTATAATAAATTTTCTGTGCCACACATTTAATACTAAAAAAAATTTATGGAGAGAAAGATTGAGACTGACTGACACTTTGATAATTTCGTACCAGAAATGTAAAAATTTTTGATAAAAAAAAAAACAGTATCAACAAAGCTTTGGATCAAGTATTTGTTTGCCATATCATGTGGCCTCTTCAGCTGCAAGGAACAGAAATGAGAGAATTGTCTCCTAGGCATGGCAGGACACGACCTCCAGTTTGTATTATCGTGGAATAATAATACTTCATGTAAGTTTAACAGAGCATGCCATAAGAATTAAAAGTTCAAAGGCTACAGTGTTTTGATTTCTGTAACCAAAAGAAACCTTTGCTGATATTACACTAGAGGTAAATATTAACAGCATGAAAGCACGCAAGTATCCCACAGCTGAGAAGGTTCTCATTGTTGTGAGTTTACAGTGTTTGCAACTGGTGATCAGCATTCTTAAGAAATTTATTGGATTTAAGGTTCTCTGTTCATAATAGTGGACCATTGTTCTTTGGATGTTTGGAACTTGGGAGCCTACTGTATTATAGACAGATTAGGCTCCTGGCATCAATCTCAAGGTTCCAACCTGAGTTAAGCATAATATTTTGTAGTGTGTATGTATAAACATTGTTGTACTTAGTATGTCCTAACATTTCAACCACTGTGAACAGTTTGTCTAAACTTCTCAAGCATTCAAAACTCCAAGTGAACCTGGTGTAATACATATAGCAGATTCAGAGTTTGGCATTTTATAGGTTAGGTTAGGTAAGGTTCGTCAGGAAACAGGACAAATGTTTCCTGACGCGGGTCTTAGTCAGATGATGACCCGCCTTTGGAGCTTTTGGTCATCTGACCGAGGCCTTCCGCTGGCTTACCGGTCCACCCCTTTAAAAATTATGGTCATTTATAACCATTGTTACTATGTTATTATTGGCAGTTTATAGCTAAGGTGAAAACCTGGTATGAAGTGACAGATATCACAAAACCTAGATAAGCATGGTATTTAGTTTATAACTTTATGCTTTCATTTTTAATCCATTACTGTATATTATGGATTGTCTCCATAGAGTAATGGAGAAAAATCCTTCCTCTGTTAGTCATGCGTGTCATAGGAGGTGACTAAAATGCTGGGAGCAAGCCACCAGTAACCCCTTCTCCTGTATAAACTACTAAATGTAAAAAGAAAAACTTCTTTTTCGGGTCACCCTGCCTCAGTGGGAGATGACCTTATATGTAAAAAAAAAAAAAAATTTTTTTTGATTTGTCCATATCCATGAGTATCTTCAACATTTGTATGATGGGTAGGTTATATGCTGGATGTAGTGGTTATGTACCTGTGATTATTTATTTTTAGCTACAGTAGCAGAGCTAAGCTTCTGGTGTCCCTCCTTCAGGTTTTATTCTAAAGTTCTAAAAGTTTGTGGTGTTTTTAAAATTTACTACCTCTTTTGTTAAAATCATTCAATTTCTATACCAGTGTTTTTTAAAGAAAAACTTTCTAATAGCCAAAAATAAGCTCCTCTTTGATTTCAATAGTTTTGGTCTTGTGCTAGTTAGGAAGTCTTCCATATTAATTATTTCTTTTAACACGTCGGTCGTCTCCCACCAAGGCAGGGTGACCCAAAAAAGAAACACTTTCATCATCATTCAACACTTTCCCCATCATTCACACAAAATCACTGTCTTTGCAGAGGTGCCCTGATATGACAGTTTAGGTGTCACTCCAAACAGCTAATATGCCAAACCCCTCCTTTAAAGTGTAGGCATTGTACTTCCCAGCTCCAGGACTCAATCTGGCTAACTGGTTTCCCTGAATCCTTTCACAAAATATTACCTGCTCATATTCCAACAGCTCTTCAGGTCCCAAAAACCATTTGTCTCCATTCACTCCTATCTAACATGCTCACATATGCCTGCTGCATGCCCAGACCCCTTGCACACAATTTCTTTTACTCCCTCCCTCCATCCATTCCTAGGATAACCCCTACCCCTCCTCCCCTCCACTACACCCTCTAGGTCAACTTATTTTGCTCTGTCTTCTCCAAATGACCAAACCAATTAATAATACTTTTAGAAACTCCACACCTCCTCTACTTGTAATCACTTTTATAAGTTACTCTTTTTACTGTAAGAGAATAAGAGTTAAATGTTAGGAATTTTCTTCTAAGGGCTGCTTTGATGCTTGTGAAGGACTCCTGATTCTGAGAATTGGATCTGTCCTTCCCTGCCTCGGCTTAGTCCTGAGTTTCTTCCATTTCCCAGGTGCTGTATGACCCTTATGGGTTTAGCACTTCTGTCATAATAACTAATGAATTGAATGGTGCATTACAGGTGGAGGAGCTGTAGGGGGTGTGGACAATGTGGGGAGGATTCAAGAGCTGTGTAATAACTATGAAGCCTGGCTGCATGTTGAGGGTCATGCACTCGCAGCTCTTACTCTGCCCAACGCTCCCAACTTGGTACAGTAATTTTGAATGTACATTTTTTTTTTTTTTGGTTGAAATTCTAAATGCTGTTAAGAGTTTTTATGAGGATAGTGAGGCTCAGGTTAGGGTGTGTAGAAGAGAGGCAGACTACTTCCCGGTAAAAGTAGGTCTTAGACAGGGATGTGTAATGTCACCATGGTTGTTTAATATATTTATAGATGGGGTTGTAAAGGAAGTAAATGCTAGGGTGTTTGGGAGAGGGGTGGGATAAAATTTTGGGGAATCAAATTCAAAATGGGAATTGACACAGTTACTTTTTGCTGATGATACTGTGCTTATGGGAGATTCTAAAGAAAAATTGCAAAGGTTAGTGGATGAGTTTGGGAATGTGTGTAAAGGTAGAAAGTTGAAAGTGAACATAGAACAGAGTAAGGTGATGAGGGTGTCAAATGATTTAGATAAAGAAAAATTGGATATCAAATTGGGGAGGAGGAGTATGGAAGAAGTGAATGTTTTCAGATACTTGGGAGTTGACGTGTCGGCGGATGGATTTATGAAGGATGAGGTTAATCATAGAATTGATGAGGGAAAAAAGGTGAGTGGTGCGTTGAGGTATATGTGGAGTCAAAAAACGTTATCTATGGAGGCAAAGAAGGGAATGTATGAAAGTATAGTAGTACCAACACTCTTATATGGGTGTGAAGCTTGGGTGGTAAATGCAGCAGCGAGGAGACGGTTGGAGGCAGTGGAGATGTCCTGTCTAAGGGCAATGTGTGGTGTAAATGTTATGCAGAAAATTCGGAGTGTGGAAATTAGGAGAAGGTGTGGAGTTAATAAAAGCATTAGTCAGAGGGCAGAAGAGGGGTTGTTGAGGTGGTTTGGTCATTTAGAGAGAATGGGTCAAAGTAGAATGACATGGAAAGCATATAAATCTATAGGGGAAGGAAGGAGGGGTAGGGGTCATCCTCGAAAGGGTTGGAAAGAGGGAGTAAAGGAGGTTTTGTGGGCGAGGGGTTTGGACTTCCAGCAAGCGTGCATGAGCGTGTTAGATAGGAGTGAATGGAGACGAATGATACTTGGGACCTGACGATCTGTTGGAGTGTGAGCAGGGTAATATTTAGTGAAGGGATTCAGGGAAACCGGTTATTTTCATATAGTCGGACTTGAGTCCTGGAAATGGGAAGTACAATGCCTGCACTTTAAAGGAGGGGTTTGGGATATTGGCAGTTGGGAGGGATATGTTGTGTATCTTTATACGTATATGCTTCTAAACTGTTGTATTCTGAGCACCTCTGCAAAAACAGTGATAATGTGTGAGTGTGGTGAAAGTGTTGAATGATGATGAAAGTATTTTCTTTTTGGGGATTTTCTTTCTTTTTTGGGTCACCCTGCCTCGGTGGGAGATAGCCGACTTGTTGAAAAAAAAAAAAATTAATTGTTTTAACAAGTTTACAAGTTTTTATTATCTCACGAAGGAAATAATGGAAGATTGAAGTGGTTCTATTCTAATTGTAATATATTTTTTTGTATGTTTGCAATCTGGGCACCTCTGCAAAGACAGTGATTATGTACGAGTGAGGTGAAAGTATTGAATGATGATGAAAGTATTTTCTTTTTGGGGATTTTCTTTATGGGTCACCCTGCCTCGGTGGGAGATGGCTGAGTTACTAAAAAAAATTTTTTTTACAATCTGTAGAAATAAAGTATAGTAAGAGCCATAAAAAGAATTTAGAGTATGATACTGGAAGCTCATTCAATAGACAGGGTGTCTTAGTTTCAGGTACAAATTGAAGATATTTTCATGAGTTTGTCATATCAAATATTAAGTTGGCATTTTCATTAAAAATATTTGATAAAAAAATATCTGCACCAGCTGTTGAAAAATACTTAGCATTCATTATCCAATACTAACTGTGAAACTTTTATTTACAGTCTGCCAAAGTAGGAGACAGCATGACACTACCGTTATCATTGTGGCTGGGCGTACCCTCATTGCCTTACATTGTATCCTTTTGGAATTCTCATTCGTGTTCTTAAGGGTAACCCTTCGAGGGGCAAATATAGCTTAATCTATTTTGTAGATGCATGATGGTGTTTAAATTTGGCTTGTTTATCAACGGTTCATTTAACTCTTAGAACAAGAAAGGTTATGCAAAGTAGGAGAGTATTGGTGTTAATCTTCTACACCATTCTTGACTTTAGCTATGCCCCCACATAAGAATTATTCTCTCATCTCTACATTTCAACACTTAATGAATATTATCCCCTTTATGAGAAGTTCCCTGATGTCAATGAGGGGTTATTGATCTGAGAAATTGGACCTCTGCTTCCCTTCAGTTGATTCAACCTGAATGCCTCCCATACCCCCAGGGATTGCTTATATAACCCTTATTGGTTTAGCACTCCCCCACAAATGTAATGATAATAATGAATAATGTAGTATATTTTACCATTCATTTTGAATGTCCTGAGAGACTGACTTTTCTGTCATGGGTCCTAGTTTCAGGTACTCAACATTATTATTATTATTAAACACACATGGCCAAGCACTTTTCCAGTGACAATTGATTTCCATGCCTGTATAAATGAATGTTGTGACAAAAATCTCCAGAATGCACTCTGCATTGTTCATACAGTTGCATAAATAATAAGGCACAGTACTGTGATTGGAGCAATACACGAATAGTGATAAAATGGGAGAATTCCTCCACAAATTATTCAGCAGCGTTGTGGTTTGTAGATGCTTTGATGCGATGACCTTTCAAAAGAAGGTTTTTTGATGCCAGTGAGAGGCTCTTGATCCAAGATATTGAACCTTTCTTTGTTTTCTATTGAGCCTCATTACCATCCATTTCCTTATGCACTGTATGACCTTTATGGCTTTAGTGCTTCTCCATGAATGTAATTTTTTTTATGTGATGAATACCTTATCAATTCTTAACCTTGTAAATTCAGCCTTGAGAATAGTCTCTCTTCAATGTAATAGTTTCACTTAACTGAGCCATGTTATTTCTAGAAACTATAACTGCCTGTACTTGTCAGTCCTTAAATGTCTCTTGGGGCCTGTGTGGAATTACACTCTTGACTGGACACTAGAATAATTAGCGAATCTATGTACGACAAATCTAGGTAGTAGGTTGGTAGACAGCAACCGCCCAGGGAGGTACTACCGTCCTGCCAAGTGAGTGTAAAACGAAAGCCTGTAATTGTTTTACACGATGGTAGGATTGCTGGTGTCCTTTTTTCTGTCTCATAAACATGCAAGATTTCAGGTACGTCTTGCTACTTCTACTTACACTTAGGTCACACTACACATACATGTACAAGCATATATATACACACACACACACCTCTGGGTTTTCTGCTATTTTCTTTCTAGTTCTTGTTCTTGCTTATTTCCTCTTACCTCCATGGGGAAGTGGAACAGAATTCTTCCTCCGTAAGCCATGCGTGTTGTACGAGGCGACTAAAATGCCGGGAGCAAGGGGCTAGTAACCCCTTCTCCTGTATAAATTACTAAACTTAAAAAAGAGAAACTTTTGTTTTTCTTTTTGGGCCACCCTGCCTCGGTGGGATACGGCCGGTTTGTTGAAAGAAGAAAGAAATGTACGACAAACCCCTTTTAGTAATATCCTTCTAGGGTATTGATGATAATGAAGGCTTCTTGATTCAAGGAATTAGAACTGCTCTTCCCTTGCTTGAATCCAAATTTATTACCAGTCATTCCTTAGGCTCCATTATGATCCTACAAATTTAATATTTTAATGTATTTATTGTGTCATCATTTTTTTTTTTCTTTTTGAGGGTTGAAGCAAAGATATATGACTGTTCTGCAAGTTACATTATAGCACTTTAGGTTCCTTAGCATTTGTTATTAAGACTTTGTATAGGGCATATGAAGCTGCAGCAGTCCATGCTGTGGGTCTTACTGCACTTAGCCTCCATGTGCGGCTGTCTTGTCTTCCTTTGTGGACCACACTTCAGGTGCGTCACTTAAAGCTACAGTAATAATTAAAGCTAACTGATCACTATGGTTGCCAATAATAAATGTTACATAAAAATTTTTATTCTGGTATTTATAGTAAATTCATCATGTTTGACTTGCCAGTGGTACTGTATTGTATCATGTATGTGGTCTGTGTTCTGGAATGTCCATAATTATTATGTTAATACAGTGTGCATATGAAGTAGAAAATGTCATGTTAAACTGTTTAACTAGAGGTAAAATATGTACTGTGATTGTTTTTACTGAGAAATTTACACTACCCAGACACTAGGTCAGAGTGGCGTGGTCTCGCGGTTTCAACATGCCTTTGAACTTGGTCAGCATCTTCAGCAGCATCTGGCAACACTCTCCAGGATACGTCTCTTGGTGAGGGAATTTCCACAGTTGTTTCTCTCTTGTTTTATTCAAGGACATCTCTGCAAAAATTAGATTGAAAATTTAAAAGTTAATTACTAATATTTGTTTTATTTTTAAAACTGATAAATACATGCAAGAGGAAACATCTGTATTAAAACTGTATATTGTAGAGCCTAAAATTCCAAATAATAAACTTTTTTTTTTTTTTTTTTTTTTTTTTTACAGAGTCCAGCACCACCTGATGGAAGCAATTTTGTCACTATCCAGGATCTAGTTACTAAGCCTATCAGTACATCAGTAAGAACTTTTGTTATTCTGTGGCTCTAATAATTGCATTATTTGTGTATTTTAAATTGTTTGTGTGAATCAGAAATATATCTTCAGGAGATTATATTTTCTTTGTGGCAGGATTAATATTTAAAAGATAGATTAATATAAAACCTTTTCATACACTTTACAGTAACTAATAAAGTTAATAATTGAAGTGTAGGTTACTGTAGTGAGTATAGTCTTGTATTATTATGAAATTACTTGGTAAAGCTTTGTGAATCTGTTTATAGAAATATGATTGTCCATTTTTTTTTTCATCTGCAGCAATTGCTGGAGACTGTAAGTGGTTCAGTGGTGTTCCAGTATGTAGATGAAGCTAACAATGGTGGGAAAAATACCGAATATTACGACAATCTAAATTCCTGGGTAAGTGTAAAGATGGGCAAATGTATTTCCAGCTCCTTATACATATATAGTCTGCTTCTGGGTTGAGAATGGTGCAAGTCTGAGCATTTTTCAAGATAGTTTGAGTCAGTATACATCATAGTACAGTAAAGCCTATCATTTGCAACAAATCTGCTGCCAAGCTCTTTGTGATCAGAAGCAAATCTGTGAAAGTATACCAAAATCAGGGGCCCATTTTAGTACAGTATAAGGGCATATCTAAAATGGTCTATGATGCGAGCATATTCTTCAAATCTTGTTGCTGCACATTGTGAATGCCCTTCCACTTATCTGAAGTGCTATTTTCACAATCCAATTTTATCATCAAAATTTGGGAACTGTTGTTGACTACTATTTTTCCAAATTTTCCAACAAGAATTTATTTACTATTATCCTGCAATTTGGAGAGGAAACTAGTCTATTTGAATTACTAATTGAAAATTTATTGTAGACTCCATGACCTTGTAAATTGTAATATTTTTCATACACTGATATTACATTCCTACCTGCCAAGTCTTCTTTCTCAGACCGAACCTAATTACCTGCCAGTCCTCCCTTTTCTACTTTAGGCTTTTTGGGGTCCTCCCCTCAGGAATTCTAGCTCCTAGGTTGGAGGACTGGTATCATTGTCCATCCTATTTCATTGAAGTCCTTCGTGGTGGTGTAGTTTGCTGTGAAATCAGGATCATCAGGGGCTGTCCCAATCCCACCTGTCCTGCAACTCTTTCTAAACTTGATGCCATCCATCATCAGACATGTCTAGGTGCTTTTTGCTCCTCTCCTGTTGAGTGTCTGTATGCAGAGGCGAGTATTCTATCCTTGATCGATCACCATGATGCCCTTGGCCTCCATTATTTTGGCTGCTCTCATGACCTTCACGATCCTTCTATGTACAGGATAGTAATGGACGTTAATAGAGGCCCATTATTTGTTGACTGCCCATTTACTCTATCCCGTTTCTCATTATCTTTACTCTGTCTTCCCCACTGCTGTGCACAAAAGCTCAAATACCTACAGTTTCTTCTCGCTCTGATCTTCTCAACCACTTCTGGTCTCATTCTCATGCCATTGCAGTGTACACTGATGGCTCTAAATCCTCTGACAGTATTAGGATTGCAGCAGTGTTCCTGGATAACATTGTGCATGGGCATTTATTAGACTCCTCTATCATTTTTACAGCTGAACTATATTCAGTTCTCATTGCAGTTATCTGTATTTCATCTATTTCTACCTCAAGACATTTGTTGTCACAGAATCCTTTAGTGCTTTGCAAGTTATTAAAAAATTTGATTCGCCTAACCCCCTAGTTCTTTGTATACAATTTTGGTTATGTTATAAAAACAAAGAAATGGTTTTTTGCTAGGTTCCTGGTCATGTTGATGTTCAGGGCAATGAGCAAGCAGACTCTGCTGTGCGGTCAGCGGTATATGACCTCCCAGTTTCATTTTTTTTTTTTCTTTTAACAAGTCGGCCATCTCCCACTGAGGCAGGGTGACCCAAAAAGAAAGAGAATCCCGAAAAAGAAAATACTTTCATCATCATTCAACACTTTCACCTCACTCACACATTATCACTGTTTTTGCAGAAGTGCCCAGAATACAACAGTTTAGAAGTATATATGTATAAAAATACACAACATATCCCTCCAAACTGCCAATATCCCAAACCCCTCCTTTAGAGTGCAGGCATTGTACTTCCCATTTCCAGGACTCAAGACCGGTTATATAAAATAACCGGTTTCCCTGAATCCCTTCACTATATATTACCCTGCTCACACTCCAGCAGCTCGTCAGGTCCCAAATACCATTTGTCTCCATTCATTCCTATCTAACACGCTCATGCACGCTTGCTGGAAGTCCAAGCCCCTCGCCCACAACATCTCCTTTACCCCCTCCCTCCAACCTTTTCGAGGACGACCCCTACCCCGCCTTCCTTCCCCTACAGATTTATACGCTCTCCATGTCATTCTACTTTGATCCATTCTCTCTAAATGACCAAACCACCTCAACAAACCCTCTTCACCCCTCTGACTAATACTTTTATTAACTCCACACCTTCTCCTAATTTCCACACTCCGAATTTTCTGCATAATATTTACACCACACATTGCCCTTAGACAGGACATCTCCACTGCCTACAACCACCTCCTCGCTGCAGGATTCACAACCCAAGCTTCACACCCATATAAGAGTGTTGATACTACTATACTTTTATACATTTCCTTCTTTGCCTCCATAGATAACATTTTTTGTCTCCACATATACCTCAATGCACCACTCACCTTTTTTCCTTTATCAATTCTATGATTATCCTCATCCTTCATAAATCTATCCGCTGACATGTCAACTCCCAAATATCTGAAAACATTCACTTCTTCCATACTACTCCTCCCCAATTTGATATCCAGTTTTTCTTTCATATAGAGGTTTTACATTTTCAGACTATTGCTGTAATCTCTAACCACTTTTGCAACTGTTGGCAACACTGTTGGTCTGATATGACTCAGCAACTTGTATTCCATGAAGCCGCCGCCTTATCATTGACGCCAAGGTTAGGAGACCATGCTCATCCTTCTTCACGTTGGGCTCGCCTGTCTTACTCATGGGTATCTCATGGAGAGGTGCCCTGTTCCACTCTGAGAATTCTCAGATTCCAGTGGACTGTTGGACTGTCCTGTCTTTCATTGAGCACATAGAATTTACCTCCAACATCACCATTCTAACACCCTTACTTTGTCTTACCTCCTAGCTGATGGCCCCACCTTTGACTCGTACTCCGTCTTCGACGTTTCGACAGCAACTGATTTATTACACGTTTTGATCGTACTTATTTTAGCACTCCTCACAGCCCTTTCTAACTCTACCTATGTAATCCTCCCCACCCTGGCTCCTCTCTGCTACAGCAACATTCCCTTCCCTGCAGCAGTGTATGACTAGTGGGTTTAACACTTGGCTTTGATTATATTAATAAGAATAATCCTGTAAAGTAAAAGGACACAAGTGCAACTAATGTGACATTTTATTTATGGCAACGTTTCGCTCTCCAGGAGCTTTATCAAGCCATTACAAACAATACATGGACACAGAGGGTATATAAAGGCTCAGAGTGAGGTGCACTACTAGTGAGGTACCATTTCGATGTTCACTAGTGGTAGTAGTAGTAGTGACAAAAGTAATACAATGTAGTAGAGCAATTAATTCGTACATGAGTAAAAGGATATAAAAGCTATTACTTGTGTAACATAAAAATAGGTTGGACAAATATAGACTGGAAAGAGGCAGCCTGTTTCAGTGTTCACTCTGTAATGTGCTTTGTGTAGTATAACAGGAGAGACTATGTGATGGCAGGGTTTACTGTTTTCAGGAGGATTCTTGCTAAGACTACACAAAGCACATTACAGAGAGTGAACACTGAAACAGGCTGCCTCTTTTCAGTCTATATTTGTCCAACCTATTTTTATGTTACCCAAGTAATAGCTTTTATATCCTTTTACTCATGTACGAATTAATTGCTCTACCATATTGTATTACTTTTGTCACTACTACTACTACTACCACTAGTGAACATCGAAATGGTACCTCACTAGTATTGCACCTCACTCTGAGCCTTTATATACTCTCTTGTGTCCATGTATTGTTTGTAACGGCTTGATAAAGCTCCTGGAGAGCAAAACGTTGCCACAATAAAATGTCACATTAGTTGCACTTGTGTCCTTTTACTTTACATATTGTCGGTAATTCTACCAACTTTATTATAAGAATAATCCTACCAGAATATGGCAGTAGGGGGTGGGTTATATACTGTCTTTTAAAAAAAGGCACTCATGCCATGGTCTTGGTATGGTTGTATGGAAGTAGTAAAAGGATGCCTAAGATGGAAGCCTAAGATATAGGTGAAGATAAACACTAAGACAAAGATAAACATCTAAGAGTGTTAAGACCAATGCCTAAGGCAAATGCTAATCACATTTTTTTAGATTACTTAATTCTTTCAGAAAATATAAAAATTTACCCTTAAAGAACAAGATCTGCTCAGCTACATTTCACTGTAACAAATGAAACATTTTGTATAAATTGCATGTACAACATTTATAGAATAACATTTTCTCTTGTCTTGCTCTCACAGTTGGGTCAGGTGGTACGGCGAGACGTTGGCACCATACCTCTAGAACTGGTACAGCTCGAGACAGCAGGACTGGTGCTACGTTGGAGTCCCATGGAAGGACCTGACACACATCACATAACATTGGCTGATGTCGACCATCTCATCCACTCCCTACATCACCAATTGGTATGTTTATAGAAAATTTTATGGGAAGATATTTGACGAGGAGGATATGTAAATCTGGAGCAATGGTAGGAGGGTTGCGGGTAGTTAAGGATGGGTTAATCATAACACAAATAACCTGCATAGAGGGAAGGAGGGGTATGGGTAATTAAGGAAGGGTTAGAGTAATACACAAATAACCTGCACATAAGAGGAAGGAACTTATGATATTTCGGTCTGACTTGTACCATTAACTAGTCAGTATGTGTCTAGTTAATGGTCCAAGTTGGACTGAAACATCGCCGTAAATTTCTTTCTCCAGTCAGGGTGCTGTGCCTCTTTGTTCTTTTGAAGGGTTGGAGGGAGGGTAAAGGAGGTTTTGAGTGCTAGGGACTTGAATGTCCAAAAAGTTTGTGTGAACGTGTTATATCGGACTGAGTGGAGGAATGTAGTTTTTATGACTTGACATGCTGTTGGACTATGAGCAGGGTAAAATATTTGAAGAGATTGAGGGGAAACCTGTTAGCTGGACTTGAGTTCTGGAGGTGGGAAAATAAAGTGCCTGCACTCTAAAGGCAGGGTGGGGATGTTGCAGTTGTGGTATCAGCACTTGTCTGGAAAGAGTGATTGAGTGGATGATGGTAAATATGTTTCCTCTATTTTTGAGTCACCCCTACCTTGATGGGAGATGGCCAGTATGTTAAAAAAATATATATTTGTTGATTCATCCTTACTCTTTCACCTGCTTTAGCTAATAACACTTATTATATACTGTATATATACTGTATTATATACTGTATAATGAGAGAGTGGGTGAGATGTTATCAACAAATTTCGTTGAAAATAAGAAAAAGTTTTGGAGTGAGATTAACAAGTTAAGAAAGCCTAGAGAACAAATGGATTTGTCAGTTAAAAATAGGAGAGGAGAGTTATTAAATGGAGAGTTAGAGGTATTGGGAAGATGGAAGGAATATTTTGAGGAATTGTTAAATGTTGATGAAGATAGGGAAGCTGTGATTTCGTGTATAGGGCAAGGAGGAATAACATCTTGTAGGAGTGAGGAAGAGCCAGTTGTGAGTGTGGGGGAAGTTCGTGAGGCAGTAGGTAAAATGAAAGGGGTAAGGCAGCCGGGATTGATGGGATAAAGATAGAAATGTTAAAAGCAGGTGGGGATATAGTTTTGGAGTGGTTGGTGCAATTATTTAATAAATGTATGGAAGAGGGTAAGGTACCTAGGGATTGGCAGAGAGCATGCATAGTTCCTTTGTATAAAGGCAAAGGGGATAAAAGAGAGTGCAAAAATTATAGGGGATAAGTCTGTTGAGTGTACCTGGTAAAGTGTATGGTAGAGTTATAATTGAAAGAATTAAGAGTAAGACGGAGAATAGGATAGCAGATGAACAAGGAGGCTTTAGGAAAGGTAGGGGGTGTGTGGACCAGGTGTTTACAGTGAAACATATAAGTGAACAGTAAATTTTGATAAGGCTAAAGAGGTCTTTGTGGCATTTATGGATTTGGAAAAGGCGTATGACAGGGTGGATAGGGGGGCAATGTGGCAGATGTTGCAAGTGTATGGTGTAGGAGGTAGGTTACTGAAAGCAGTGAAGAGTTTTTATGAGGATAGTGAGGCTCAAGTTAGAGTATGTAGGAAAGAAGGAAATTTTTTCCCAGTAAAAGTAGGCCTTAGACAAGGATGTGTGATGTCACCGTGGTTGTTTAATATATTTATAGATGGGGTTGTAAGAGAAGTAAATGCGAGGGTCTTGGCAAGAGGCGTGGAGTTAAAAGATAAAGAATCACACACAAAGTGGGAGTTGTCACAGCTGTCTTTGCTGATGACACTGTGCTCTTGGGAGATTCTGAAGAGAAGTTGCAGAGATTGGTGGATGAATTTGGTAGGGTGTGCAAAAGAAGAAAATTAAAGTGAATACAGGAAAGAGTAAGGTTATGAGGATAACAAAAAGATTAGGTGATGAAAGATTGAATATCAGATTGGAGGGAGAGAGTATGGAGGAGGTGAACGTATTCAGATATTTGGGAGTGGACGTGTCAGCGGATGGGTCTATGAAAGATGAGGTGAATCATAGAATTGATGAGGAAAAAGAGTGAGTGGTGCACTTAGGATCTGTGGAGACAAAGAACTTTGTCCTTGGAGGCAAAGAGGGGAATGTATGAGAGTATAGTTTTACCAAACGCTCTTATATGGGTGTGAAGCGTGGGTGATGAATGTTGCAAGCGAGGAGAAGGCTGGAGGCAGTGGAGATGTCATGTCTGAGGGCAATGTGTGGTGTTGAATATAATGCAGAGAATTCGTAGTTTGGAAGTTAGGAGGAGGTGCGGGATTACCAAAACTGTTGTCCAGAGGGCTGAGGAAGGGTTGTTGAGGTGGTTCGGACATGTAGAGAGAATGGAGCGAAACAGAATGACTTCAAGAGTGTATCAGTCTGTAGTGGAAGGAAGGCGGGGTAGGGGTCGGCCTAGGAAGGGTTGGAGGGAGGGGGTAAAGGAGGTTTTGTGTGCGAGGGGGCTTGGACTTCCAGCAGGCATGCGTGAGCGTGTTTGATAGGAGTGAATGGAGACAAATGGTTTTTAATACTTGACGTGCTGTTGGAGTGTGAGCAAAGTAACATTTATGAAGGGATTCAGGGAAACCGGCAGGCCGGACTTGAGTCCTGGAGATGGGAAGTACAGTGCCTGCACTCTGAAGGAGGGGTGTTAATGTTGCAGTTTAAAAACTGTAGTGTAAAGCACCCTTCTGGCAAGACAGTGATGGAGTGAATGATGGTGAAAGTTTTTCTTTTTCGGGCCACCCTGCCTTGGTGGGAATCGGCCAGTGTGATAATAAAAAAAAAATAAATATATAGTATGTATTTTTTTTTTCTGTAGGGTGAAGGGAAGTAATGATTTCAGGTACAATATATCCTCATAATTACAATAAGAAGTTAATATACTGTAATTTCTTCTTATTACAGGATATCTTGAATGCAACGGTAGAGCAGCGGAAAACTTTCACTGAATTAGTATCATCTGCAAATAACCTTCAGTTAGTTGAAATACCTGGTTGGGCTGGCCTTGGAGGAGTCCGTTACATTGCTGACTTGTGGCTTGATCAAAACCCAGTGTTAGAGACTACTAAAGATGATATTAATGCTCTTAATGTTCATTTAGTGTCCCAGCTCAAGGCTACTGACTCTGCTTTCTCCTTAGGTAAGGTGAAAACCTGTTGTGTGATACTGATATGTTGTGGTCAAAGACACATGAGCAAAAACTAGATATTTTTTTATGGAAAAGTTTGGTCCTGGGACCTTGTGACCAAGGTTCCAGGGCCAAATATTTTTCATTATAAAATGTCCTTTGTGTTTGTTCACATATCTTTAGTAACTCCTTAGGTATATTGATCAAAATATTAAACAGTACTGTATGCACTAAAAAAATTTAATGAATAAATGTAAACAATTTAAAGGAGTGATTAGGATTTTCAACCTGTGATCTGGAACTACCAGCCTCTTTTTTTTTTTTTTTTTTTTTTCTTCTTCTTCTTCTTCTTCTTCACTCTGTGATGCAAGGAACTGAGGCAACAGGCTGGCAATTGCACTGTGTGTACTTGCCTATTTGTGCATGCATGTGTGCACACAGGTTTTGTTTTTTTATTTTGATAGTCTTCATCTGCCAAGGCACGGTGAACCAAAGAAGAAGAAATTTACCATTATGCATTCAATCAATGTCTTGCCAGAAATGGGTTACTGGTGCTGCCACTGCTTTGCACCATGGCAGTATCTTGACCATTGAGGTTGATCTCTGCTTCATCTAAGCTCAATATCATGTACAAAGCTTAACATCATTTGCACTATTAGTAAGGCAAAGTTTTGATTGCTGATGCACTTTAGTGTTGGGTTACTCTCAGTATAGTGTATTATAGTTGTACTCCCACCTGCTGGTGGTAACTTTGCAGACACCTACCTCTAGGTGGCTTTGCTGGAAGCAGTGCTGTCTGGAGGTTTACCCTGACAGTTTTACTTGAATTTTTATTGTAGTTAAGGACTTCATAAATATGGGTATGAACAAACTGCTTTTTACCCTTAGATAAGTATTGCCAATCCTTCCTGTTCCTCTGGAAGCCTGCTTTATCTTACCCTCAACCCTTTCCATAATAATTCTGTCATACATTTTACCCAGTATCCTTAACCACTTCACCGTCTCTGCCTCTGGTGAAGTAAGTGTCCGTACCAAAGTACTATGCCAAAATTCTAGTGGCTTCAAATTAGTGTGGGAAAGTTGGTAAGCCTACATCTAAGAGAATGGGTCTTTGTGGTCAGTGTGCACATTAAAATATTTGGGCACTTGCATTGCACTGTGGGAATGCCATCTCGGTACCCATTGTTAACCATGCCTCATGGTAGCAAAAGCCTCACTCCCAGGCAAATTGGGAATTTTCTCTTCCCAAGTGACAGTTCTAATAGTGACAAAGTGGGATTGAAGATGAATTCTATGGTTTTGAACAGTTAGTGACTAAAAGCAACACTCAAAATGATGGAAATATGTAGTGTTGAAAACCCCAACGACCTTCAACCATCTACCTCTGGGGTTGGTCCATCTAGTTCAAGTCAGTTTTACAACACCGTAAGCATAAGCTGCAAAAACAGTGATGATGTGTGAGTGAGGTGAAAGTGTTGAATGATGATGAAAGTATTTTCTTTTTTGGGGATTTTCTTTCTTTTTGGGTCACCCTGCCTCAGTGGGAGATGGCCGACTTGTTAGATAAGAGTGAATGGAGACGAATGGTATTTGGGACCTGATGAGCTGTTGGAGTGTGAGCAGGGTAATATTTAGTGAAGGGATTCAGGGAAACCGGTTATTTTTATACAGCGGATCCCCGGTATTCGATGACATCGATATTCGATAAATCCGGTTTTCGATGCATTTTAACGCAAAAAATTTTCCTCGGTATTCGATTGAAAACCCGATATTCGATACAATTCGTATGAGACCTGTCCACATGTGGCCTGAACTGCTCCGTGTGTGCTAGTGTTTACAAGCCAGCCAGTGTGCGCGCATCTAAGGATACATTCGGTACATTCCATATTATCCATATTATCACTGTGTTTGGTGCTTGTTTCTGCAAAATAAGTCACCATGGGCCCCAAGAAAGCTGCTAGTGCCAACCCTTCGAGAAAAAAGTTGCTAATGACTTATGAAATGGAGAAAGAGATAATTGCAAAGTACGAAAGTGGAGTGCGTGTGTCGGAGCTGGTCAGGTTGTATAATAAACCCCAATCAACCATCTCTACTATAGTGACCAGGAAAACGGCAATCAAGGAAGCTGTTCTTGCAAAAGGTGCAACTGTGATTACGAAACAGCGACCACAAGTGTTAGAAAATGTTGAGAGATTGTTACTGGTGTGGATAAATGAAAAACAGATAGCAGGAGATAGCATCTCTCAAGCGATCATTTGTGAAAAGGCTAGGCAGTTGCATGACGATTTGGTTAAGAAATTGCCTGCAACTAGTGGTGATGTGAGTGAATTTAAGGCCAGCAAAGGTTGGTTTGAAAGATTTAAGAATCGTAGTGGCATACATAGTATGATTAGGCATGGTGAGGCTGCCAGTTATATTGTGTGACAGAAGTCCAGTGACCCAAGCTGGTCCTAGTGGCATTAAAAGAAGAAGGGAAGTAACCCCGGAAAAGGACTTGCTACCTCAAGTCCTAATGGAAGGGGATTCCCCTTCTAAACACTAACACCTCTCCCCTCCTTCCATCCCATCAATCATCACCAGATCTTCATTAAAGGTAAGTGTCAATTATTTTATTGTTATTGTAATTATTCTATTGCATTGAACTTAATATTTCATGTAGTAAAATTTTTTTTTTCATACTTTTGGGTGTCTTGCACGGATTAATTTGATTTCCATTATTTCTTATTAGGAAAATTGATTCGGTTGTCGATATTATCGGTATTCGATGAGCTCTCAGGAACGGATTAATATCGAATACCGGGGGTCCACTGTATAGCCGGACTTGAGTCCTGGAAATGGGAAGTGCAATGCCTGCACTTTAAAGGAGGGGTTTGAGATATTGGCAGTTTGGAGGGATATGTTGTGTATCTTTATATGTGTATGCTTCTAGACTGTTGTATTCTGAGCACCTCTGCAAAAACAGTGATAATGTGCGAGTGTGGTGAAAGTGTTGAATGATGATGAAAGTATTTTCTTTTTGGGGATTTTCTTTCTTTTTTTTTGGGTCACCCTGCCTCGGTGGGAGACGGCCGACTTGTTGAAAAAAAAAAAAAAAAAACTTCTAAACTGTTGTATTCTGGGCACCTCTGCAAAAACATTGATTATGTGTGAGTGAGGTGAAAGTGTTGAATGATGAAACTATTTTCTTTATGGGGATTTTCTTTCTTTTTTGGGTCACCCTGCCTCGTGGGGAACGACCAATTTAAAAAAAAAAATTAGTACAGTTATTTTGTTGCATACAACAAATGTATATATATACATTATGCATTATATTGGTCTCACAGGCCACAAAAGCTACTTGACAGAAAAAATTAGAAAAGGAAAATGTATCAAATAACCAAAAAACAATACAGATTGCACAGCAGTCGTCGATTTTGCCGTCAGCCAGTTATTGACTGTCAACTTCACACCTGGAAATTTTGTTTTGTTTCATTACCTACAAAATATTATACTCTTACTCTATAAGAAAAAAAAAATTTAAGTTCTTGGACCCTGTAGACACTTTAGATTAGGGGTCTGGGCAGTTAAAGGGTTAATATGCTTATTTCTTTATAATTCTTACATTCACTCGTATATATTGCTTGTGAATTTTCCATTGCACGATGCAATGTAAAAGTAATATCAGATATTATCTCTCTACTTTTGACAGGTGAAGGGAGTGATGGACTGAACTGTGTCAGGTTTGGGATGGTGACAGCTGATACTGATCTGTCAGAGCTCCTCTCCTTAGTCATTACTACAGGAAGAGAAATTGAAACATCATCTAGATTCCTTGACCAAATGACTGACATTGTCCGAAAAGGTGTGTATCATTCTGGCGTATAAATCTGTTTAGTATTGCATGATAGTTTTCTCTCTTGACTACAACAGAGCCACAAATTAGTAAGTGCAGCATTGTATTTTACTTGAAATATTTGATGAAAGTGCCTGTGGACTACAGTTATTATTATTATAATCAAAACGAAGCGCTAAGCCACAAGGGCTATACAGCGCTGTGGACTACAGATGTCCAATGTAGATGACAGTGGGTTTTCTTTTTCTCTCTCATAGTTTTAGAGTTAAGTTAAACTTCATATCCGTGCCATCAAAAGCCATGTACCACCATGCTGTATGCTGCATCTCCATCATATTTTCATAAGTCATGACATGTAGGATTCTGACCAATACTGTTTGTGTTACAGAATAATGATTTATAAATTGTCACTAGTGTCTTCATGGATTTTGTGTTTGTGGTGCTTCCAGAAATTTAATTCTTCTGAATAGCAAAGTTTCACTGTAGCTTGGTGTCAGTTTCAATACAAGCAATAAAATTCACGAATTCATTGCAGGTATTGAAGCAGCAACAGAGGACCTGAAGCGTGAGAATGAGGAAAGACTGTGGCAAGAAGGCATCCTGCGTCATGTGCCAATAGTAGGATCTGTCTATAACTGGTTTTCTCCTGCACCACCTCCAGGCATCAAGGGGCGCACACTGGACCTTACAGCAGGTGTTCTAGAGAGTACCGAAAACATATACCGCTATCATATGCAGGTTTGTGTTGTCATGTTTAAAAAACTGAATTTATAAATGTAGCACTTTGAGCCACCTGCTGTTTTTGTATGACTCTTGGCTTTGTTTTTGTAGATGCTCTCCTCTTTCATTATATTGTCAAATACTCCAGTCTTCAGAACATGGGTGACATGACTTGACATGAGCTTTCTCTTAATTTGACTTGTCCTCTTTTTTTTTTTTCTCTCTCATTCATAACTTTGATAGTTTCAGTCAAGCTGAAACATCATCCTGATTTTAGTCATATTTTGTGGGTAATGAACTCTTTTAAACATAGTATAGACTTGTTCTTTAAACCATTATCTTTTCTCAGCAAACTCTGTATTAGTTCTGATGCTAATTCTTTCCTTACTTTTAAATAACCTGTGTATATCCCAGTTGTAGCATGTACCCCATGAACTGTTAGCTTTAGTCTTTTTGACTAAATTACAAATAATTTTTTGCTTTCTACTGCTGTTGTTTTTATATTCCCTGGTTTTAGACATCTATACTGGATTAACATCAGGTTCTTATGAAATACAAATCCAACGTATTAAGGCCTTTTTTTTTTCAATGAGTTTTAATTTTTGCATATACAGTAGTCTCTCTTTATCCATAGGGGACACATCCAAGACCCTACCATGGATGCCAAAACTGCAGATAGTAGGAAACGCCCTATATGTCATTTTTCGTTTACATACATGCCTAAGATGTTAGGTGTTGGATGGGTGTAGGGATGGAGGCTGGAAGGAGTGAGGTGGTGTGATGGTGATCATGTGGGTGGTAGTGTGGATGATGGGTGACTGAGCAGATGTGCAGTAATTAGGGTGGTTGGTGGCTACATGACAAGGAGTGTAGATGGCATGTTAGGGTATCTGGGCTGTAAAAACATGGGTAAGGTGTGGGAGTAGGGCTGTGAGGGCTAGCAGCTGTAGGGGAGTAGTGAGTGAAAGCATGAGTAAGATATGGGGCCATGTGGGCTTGAAGCTGTGGAGGAGTGGTTTGGGTGAAATGTGTGCTTGTCAGTGGCCTGGTGTGGGTGATGATTGGATGATGGTTGATTGGGTGGGCAGTTGTTCAGTTGGTGCAATGAGCATGGTCGGTAAGTAAGTGATTAGGTATGTGGACAGCATGCTAGGGTGAAAGGTCATGTAAGGTGTGCAGGTGAGGAATGTGGCTGTGAGGGAACGGTGGTTGTGTGGGGGAATGGTATAGGTGTGAACGTGTGTGCATGGAGGAAAATGTATGTGCAGATTGTTGGTTGGGATGGTGTGGGTGGAGGCATGTGGCTGAGGTATGGCAATGAATGCATATCACCGTAACAGCATAAGATATGATGGTGTTAGACGTGTATGTTTAGTGCTGAGTTTTAATTATAATAATCGAAGGAATAGGACCTGTCCTCCCCTTCCTTGGATCAAACCTGATTGCCTCCCATTCCTCAAGTGCTGTATAATCCATTTGAGTTTAGTACTTCCTCATAAATTTAATAATAACAATCTGCTGCTTAGTTTTCCCCATCCTCTTTTTGAACTCAGATTTTGCTAATCAAGATAAATTTCTTCTTTACAGATCCGGCATGGGTCTGCCCCAACTCGTAGTGAAACCAAGCTTCCCCCAGCTCCTTCAGTACAGACACCTGTGAGTCCTTCAGCCTCCTCTCCCTCTCACTCTCGCTCATCCTCCACTACCTCAGCGCTAGTTCCTGGGTCCACACACTCACGCCAGGCATCTGACCTTCCACCAACAACTCCCGACATCAAGAATATTTCTGCTCCCACATTAACAGCCAATGGCACTACAGCAGCAGTGTAGCACTAAATGCTTTTCACAGACTCTGGATCAGTGTAGTGAGTTATCATTATGGGCTTTGAGACGTGCAGTTAAAAATGTCGATAGAAATACACTGTACTTTCCTTCTTTGAAGTCTAAAATGACACCTTATCACACAGTTATGAGTCTTATTATTTTATATTCCTGTATTATATTATTGCATTTGTGTGTGTTTCGAATTTGTATTGGTTATTCTTTGGTTACCAACTTCATTTTTTTTTTTTGTGTTTGCTAAAATCTTCTAGCAGCATTTTTGACGAATAAAAATTATCTTAATTTTTCACTGCAGTGAAAAATGTAATATAGACATTAATTAGGGAAAACCCTGAAAGGCATTTTCTTAAACTAGACAATGTATATAAATATAATTTTCTTTATATATGTACTATGTAAATTGCAAAGGTGGCTCAAAGCTGCTTCTCTTTCTCTTGTGCCTTTTTTGTTATATTAAGCTTTACAGTGGACCCCTGGTTTACGATATTATTTCATTCCAGAAGTATGTTCTGGTGCCAGTAATGAACGAATTTGTTCCCATAAGGAATATTGTGAATTAGATTAGTCCATTTCAGACCCCCAAACATACACGTGCAAACTCATTTACATAAATACACTTACATAATTGGTCGCATTGGGAGGTGATCGTAAAGCAGGGTCCACTGTATTAGCCTCACTTTTTTTTTAAACTTGCTATAAAATGTCAAAAGCATTTCTACTTTACTAGAAAATCTGCAGTGTGATTCCTTTCTAACATCGTTTTTAATTAGTAAATGAAAAAGTGCGGTGAACATTTTAAAATTACACCAGAATATGGATAACGTACTCAAAATTGCACTAAAATGCAATTTGGATACAGTGTAATTCTATCTTGACCTATTTGTCTTGTACATTGGTTATTAGCCCTTGTAATCTTGATACTGTATTGACTCTCGTGCAGGATCAGTATTTTGCAGCTAATTTGGATTGGGAGAAAATTAAAAGCATTTTAATACATAAAAGAATTGATAGTGATGGAAAGGGATGGTTAATGTAAAAACAGAATCCTATGTTGCATCTCTTTATATACTTGCAATTCCAATACAACTTTAATTGGCAAACAATTGACAGTAAATATGTAATTTAAGTTTTTCAATAATTCCTAAATAGTTTTTTTGTGTGTGTGAATATATTTTAATCTATATATGAGAATGTTTTTCCAGTTGTAATATATTTGTAGATTGGCCCTTTTATGAAGATTATTTTTTCTGGTGAGTAAACATATTAATATGTTCAGTAGCATTATATTCAACATATTTTGATATTTATATATATCTTTGTTTTTCAGAGTGTGTGAATGTCAGATACAGTCAAACCTCAGTTTTCGTATTCCATAGTTTGTATGTAAAACTATAGTTCTTCTCTATAAAATATATTTTTTAATATTTTTAGGTGTCTGGAACAGATTAATTGGATTTACTGCCGGTGTGTTGAAAGAAGAACAACTATAGTTTTACATACAGACTAGGGCATACAAAAACTGAGGGTTGACCGTATTTAGTTCCTCTCTCCTGCACCAAGGTGTCTGCCCACTTTTTACTAATGGCTACTTCATTTGCTTTTTCTACTTTAATCACTATTTTCTTTTTTTTAAAGTGCTATCAGTTTCTTTCTTATGATTCCTAATATCGGGAATATTTACCAGGATACAGATATACTAGTGTGTTTGCCTGCAGTGTGTTGAATTGATCTACAAGATGTTATTTTTTTTTTCTCTCTTATTTGATTGAATCAATACACAGCAGCTTTAATTTTGTATCTACAGTATGTTTTTTTTTTTTTTTTACACATTCCACTTGTGCTGTGTAAGTCTTTACCGTCAGAGGTGGCATTATTAGGAATTTATTAGTTTATTTATTATAGCTGTTGTACTGTATTTAAATTTTACTACCGAGTGAATGTTTAATTATATTTTGTATACATTTATGTTATATTTGGTTAAGAAGTTGTTCTTATCCCCAAAGTGTGTTTTGTATATGGTGTGACTTTTATGGTGCAACTTTTGACATTTTAGCCTGAAGATGCTTCAGGTGATATTTTTCCCCACTAGAGTATTCAATGTGTTCCTTGCCTACTTGTCATGAAAATGTTGTTGGAAAGTTGCTTATGATTGTAGGTGTGTCACCTCTTGAATTCATGTAGTATACTCATCAAAGGTGTTATACAGTCTAATCCTCTTAACCCAAACACAGTTAAGCCAAATATTTGATAACTTGCGCTAAATGCTTCAGAATGGGTAAGCCGTAATTTTCCCTTTTAGCCAAACCCATACAAAACAAAAGTAAAAATGATTTTTTCTGCAAACTGAATCCAGGACACCTTATTTTATTTGGATAAAATATCCAGGAACTCGCAGATACCCAGTCATTGCTTTTCTTTACATCATCGCACATTATTTAAACTGCATACACTTGCTGAGCTATACTGATTTCTGGTGCAAAACTTGTTTTAATAAACTTCAGACAATGCTTGCTGATGATCACATCAGATAAATTATAAATACAAATTCCACCTGCTTTAAAGTTTAATTTTATAATAAATTTGTTTTCATTACTTTTTGTATCCCTTACCATATATAAATTAAAAAATGACCTGTATCAAAATAGCTGGAAAAGGAAATAGTATTATGTATTGTTAGCCAACTGTAGATGACTACTCCCAATAACTGCAGTGGATGCCTCAAAAAATATCTCCCCATGCTTTAAGGCTGATTTTTATGATCTAGTCCATGTAATGTATCATATTTAAATTAAATACATGATCTGTATCTGAGCAGTTGATAACTTAACCTAGGTTTTAGTGTGTACTGAATCACTCCTTGCACTGCATATTACAATAATTATACATTATGGCTTTAGCACAATTGTTATTACTATAAGTTACAGTACTCTCCCACTATTTGTCAAACTAACATAAACTCTCCACACATGCAGAATATATGAATGCATTTAATAAAAAATAGCTGAGAAAAACTAATGAAAGTAATTTGTGTATTGGGGTGAGTTTTGCTTAGCGTTTAAGCCAAATATTTGGCAATGGCAGACTGCCCTCAGCCCAAAGAAGTTTGGGTTAATGAGATTAGACTGTAGTAAACTTTTATTGATACTTCAATCATTTTTTTTTATTTAGTGATTAACAAAAGCATGTGCATGTGCAGATGCACTCACCACTTCCCTGCCAAACTCCGTAATTTCACATATATAATTACCTATGTATTTACCTATTTGAGTTTGCTCCCTTACATACTCCATCTCTTGGTCCTGCCACCTTCTACCAAATTAGCATGATTGAGCCCTATTTATATACATTTTTCAAACTTTGTTTAAAGATTGCTTTGACATTTAAAGATTGCTTTCACTGTGTCATTGGTCAACTCATTCCTCTTGTTTGCCACTCTTGCACTGCTCATATGAAAGTTTAAAATCAGTGATACCTCAGTGTAATGGACTACTAGGGAGAAGGGGATGTCTACTTAATAAAAGATCTGTTGCACTAAAGTGCCCAGTTCAGCAGACTAGATCCCCTGCATCATTGGCATTACTGGACATACGTAGAATGAACCATAATACAGTACAATATATACATGGAAATAAGAGTTAAAAGTACAGTATAGTACAGTAATTTTTCTTGCCTCTTTTGGTGGATAAATGAGCTTGAACAACAATAATTTCGTGTCTAGTGGCAACTCAAAATGACTTATTCTGAGTTGGAGAAATTGCAAAGCTTTAGAAGCAACATTACTGATGGTATGGGAGATGTAGATAGTAGAGTAGACATAGGTGGTTTAGTAGATGTAGATGATTTAGTAGTAGATGTTCAGTAGCAGTAGATGGGTGGAGTTGTAGTTGGAGACCTACACTGTACTCCTCACACAATCGCCCACATGCTAGGCTCCACCTCCCTTATTAGTTCAAGTTTCTGCTGAACACTCAGATTCTCACATTTCTTCTTGAGGCTATTGTTAATAACACTAGGCAAAATGTTAATAAGGTGGCAACACAAAGTTGCAAACCTTGGGAAAATTGAAGACCTACTGATGATAGCATGTGTGAGCGAGCATAGACAATAACAGTCCACTGCATCGGTGACACTTTCAGACCTCAATACAGAAAAATGCTTGATACAGCAAGACGAGCCTGCCACATCGATGACTATTGTATATGTACTCATATACAATGGACTTGTAGGCACTGTCCAGTGAAATTATTTTTTTTTGTCTGAATCCTGTTGCATAGGGATCCATTACACTAAGGTTTTATACTACTGGCCATCATTGTAAAATTGGTGGACAAGCAGAATAAGTCAGGTTTAGAAATAGTAAAGGCAGACTTTACATGGATTTAACAGCAAAAAGACCAGAAACAATCTGCACCAGTCAGGATTGGGAGCTGGAGCTTGCTTTCTGCAGGCACAGCACAGCAAGTGCACATGCATGTATACTTACAGCTGCATACTCAAGTGCTGGTGCTCACCCTCCACAAACTTCTTGACAATACATGCAGTTTCAAGATTTCTCTTCCTGAAGTCCATTCCACAAACTCTGATAGGTAATTGTTTCATGTGTTATCTCTCTCTCATCTGCATCTACTCTGTCTCTTTACCCTCATTCTTTTAGTCTCATCTTTTGGTGAATTAGACATGTGCATAATATGAGTACCTTTATTTTGTGGGTGTTTCACCAGCCAGTGGCTTTATCAGTACCGTAAGTGACAAAAGGAAGACTGTAGAGAAGAGGTAAACAGTCCCTCAGCCTAGGAGCAAGTGTTGAACACAGTAGTCTTAACAAATCTGAAGCACAGGCAGGAAGATGGATGCTTTTATACTAGTCAGATGAGGTGCAGCAGTTGAAGGCTTTATCACTAGTAGGTGGGACCCATCAAATTAGATACCCAGATGTTGCATTTGAGTCTAATTCATCAACTTTTCAGTACTGTATACCATTAATATAGTGTTACATTTAATCTCTTGCCCCTTGCTCTCATGCAGACAAGTGCATGTGTCTGTATATCTACAACTTTGGAGTTAGTAATACATTGTCTTTGCTCTGAGAACTTATGATACTTTTAGAGACTATCTTAGCTCCTGATCTAGTGATCCCACTTACAGCATTGCAGGAAATTGTAAGTGCTATATATTTAATAAGCAACAGTATGGAATGTCACTAAAGTTGCCATTGTTTCAACAAATATAAAAGTACTATACTTTCTTGAAAACTAATTAACAGCGTGTTTAGTGCAGCTGATGTCATTGTGGCTTTTCTATATTATTATCTTGATTTTTTTGTTGTAGGTTTATGAAATTCCATAATGATTTCATTTTTTTTTTACACAATGGATTTATTTAAGCTTTACAAGTACATACTATACATAATACTGTTAACTTAATTTGTTTATTATTGTAGCTCACCATAGTGTAAATTGCTAGCTTTTCAAATTGGTTCTATTACATTACATTACTAGTCACATTAACCTTTTCACTGTCATGGTTTAAAATTTTTTTTTTTTTTTGACCAAAAATGTGAAATTTGATTGAAACTTGTGGAATTATGAAGGTGTAAAGTTAATGGTCTAAGTGTAATTTAAGCCCACTTTGGGGCCTATTTTAGGTCAATTACATGGCTCAAACCAATTTAATTTTTAGCTATTTCACTAGTATGCCTTCCATTTTATTGAGTGCAAGAAGCTGCCCATTCAACTATTAGAATTACCTTATAAAGTGCATAAAACTCGGTAATTTACTCATTTAAATTCAGCAAATTTCATTTTTAAAAGCAGATTCCAAAATCAATACTGTAGGCATTCCAGCTACTAAAGTAACCTTTCCTCTCTTCATTAGTCATGTCCCCAGGCCTCCATTTTGAATCCATGGTTTAGGTCATCTTCAATAATTGAAGCAGACCTAGTAAAAACCCATAAAACAGACTGAGGGAAGGAGAGGTAGCAGGGGCCCCTCCCCTTCCCCAGGGAAATTGCCAAAAATTGAATACTTCTGCCACTTTGAGGACTATTCCAGCCACTGCTTGTGTGAAACCAACCAAAATCGTTTCCATTTCACTAATATGTCTTCCATTCTATTAAAACCATTGTACACGTCTCAGTTGCTATCTTAAACAGAAGCTGGTCGCATCATGCACTGCATGGGGCCAGATTGCTTTTTATGCTGTGCACACTTGCTCCACAGACTCATTCTCTCATGACCGAGCCAAAATTTACTGACCACTGCATAATTGAGGTCGCGGATATCGGTGTAAATTTACGTGGGAGACAGTGAAAAGGTTAAAAGATCAAAAAATTATGTAGGACAGACCAGTGACTGTTGCTGTGTTTATGTAGGCTAAATTTACTGACCTGTTTAACCTGACTTTGTGAAGTTTGTTTTGCTCTTAAACTTGTATAAAAACTATAACAAACTAAGAGTAGCTACTTTCTTATTTTGCAGGTATGATATTTCTGAAGGTAAATGAAGGGCTAAAATGCACTAAAAATAGAAAATAGCTTTTTCTTTCTGAATTTTTTAACTTTCCAATTCATAATTTCAAGAATCCATTACATGGATTACACTAACTTATTTGCAACCTTTAATTTTTATATAATAATTGAATCTGATAAATATGTTTTTGTATACAAGTAAAATATTGAATCCACAGTATGTCATACTGGTCAGTGGAATTTTTTTGCAGTATGTCTGCTAATGTAATTTTTTCTTGCTCTGTAAGATTGAAATCATTTTTCACATCTTATGTACAGTATTTTTGTATTTTAGAAAAAATACCAGATACTTGAATTATGATGGCATATGTCATCAAATTGTGGATTTAAGTTTGTGCTAGACATTTAACAGATAAATTTAGAGGATATCAAAGAGACTCGTTAAAATTGTGCAAGGTAAGAACCAGGTATTAGAAAAGAGCCATAGGGTATTTATTACATAGAGATATTATTGGAAAGACTGCTCATAAAGTTTCAAGGGATGCATTTTGAGTCACCTTCAGTAAACAATTATCTTTCATGATTGAATTTACCATTCATGTCAGAATTAGTGCCTTTCAACAGATTTGTTCACAGAATAAATTAATTGTGGATTATAGCAAATGTATATATAATGCGATCTGTGCTGTCTATATACAGTATTGTAAAATAGATGTGCGCCATTTACTACTATGGCACTTACAGGAAGAGAATCTTTTTTGGCCAAACACAGTTTTTGTTGATCTGAATTTGTGAAAGTTCTATAGAGTAAATGTCTTTCTTATTGTATTATTTAAAACAATATGTTTTTATAATAGGTGCATTATAGCATTACTTCCTTGTAAATTGGAATTTTTACAAAAGTTTTCTGCCTTGTAATAAAAAAGCAAAATTCTTTTCTGTAGTAGGGAGCATACTTGGTGGATATTAAGCATGTGTAACAGTCAGTGGAATGACTGAGATTTTGCCATATGATATGGGATTATCAACTTGTTGCCATAGTACACTGCACCATAGTTGACCTAGGCAACAGGCTGGCAGTCCCAAACCACAGTTTCAAATTTCATTTACTCCACTGAATGGTTG